ACTTTGTATGTATGCAAAATAACTTTCACATAAAATCTGTGCACGCATGGATTTGGCAGTGGAAGCGAGTGAATAAAAAACGAGAAACTTACCTTTAACTTTGTGTCTTGCTCTTACAGTATCCAAAGCATAAACTGCAAACTCGCCTGACTGCACAACCTATATTTATGCGCTAACCTTTTCAATTTGTAAGTAAGAAACGGAAATCGACATACCTAATAGAGCGCCAAACCGCAGGTATTTTAACAAATTCTAGCTACTTAAGCATGCATGAATGACCAGTGATCTGGAATAAGTATAGTAAATACTTTACTGTCAAGATAATGAGTATATACATCAAAGGATTAATTCTTAACCGCATAAAAATGAAGGAATCGCTGAATTTAAAATGTGATTGATATAAGTACGGATAGAAAAACCATGCGGGAAAACATGGATCGTTTTCAGCGTACAAAAGTAACGTAATGTAATCTATTAGCACAATCACGATATGTATAAAATATACTGTATTTACTTCTAAATAAAAACAAAACAAAATCCGAAGATTAACATCTTGAAAACCAAAATATAGGTAATTGTTGGCTGGTATTGATTTTTACTTTTATAAATTATTCAAGCCATTGTGGGCAATATGGCGTTGTGAAAATATATATTATGACACCTGAACAATATTGTATAATCTAACAATTATTAATGCTCGACCGAGCTAAACTTATTTCGAGGATTTGATATTTCGTGGAAGAAGATTCTACGCATTCCATAATGCGTAGAATTTCAATGATCACTGATGTGGCAAATTTTGCAATTATAACAAACAATGGTTAACCAAGTGAGATACAAATCATTCTAGGAATTGTTATTTCGTGGAAAAATCTACGAATTTTAGATTTCAAAATCAGTGATCTGGAATAAATGAATGTAAACCACAACAATGAAGGGAGGTGGTAGCTTACAAACACAATACTAGAAATTGTGGTTGCGCATCTTAAATAAAGTGTTTAGTTAATTGCGTCAGCAGAAGTATTTTGTTTGCTTTATGTCTCTGATAACGATGACTGAAGAAAATACTTTACCGTATGTAGGGAGGAAAAAACCCAGCAAAACTTTTAGTTTTATAACGAACAATAGAGCTTAATTCATTTCGAGGATTTGTTATTTCGTTCTAAAATCTACGATTTTTAGATTTCAAAAATAATTTGCATGAGCCACTTGGGAATGAATGAATCAGTGCTCTGGGATAAATCAATGTAAACCACAACAATTAAGGAAGGTGGTAGCTTACAAACACAAAATGCAAATTGCGCAACTTAAATAACGTCTGCAATTTGCGTCAGGATAAGTATAAATCAATCCATTTCTCATTCATTTCCTTTTGCCATTTCTTCAGCACTGCAATGAATCCAGATTTATATACTATTCTTTTGCAAATATAAATTTTGGTTTCTGGTGTGAGTAAATAATCTTTAATTGAACTCTAAACTGCAATTTAATCGAGTTAAAATAAATGTATATATTATTGTCATCGTCAATATGTTTCCATCTGCAAAAATCATACCTATAGGTGTACGCCTATTTTCAATTATGTTTAGCTATATATTTTTAACTTTGCCTAACTTTTCAATTATGTTTAGCTATATATATGTACAATCAGCGTATACTGTATAATATTCATGCCTAAATGTTAAAAAACTATATGAAAATATATAAAATAAAACACTTCTTTTTTCAATGATTGTTCCTATTGCCTGGGACTTATAATATATTATAGTCACGTTTACGATAGTGAACATTATAGATAGTTGTGTATAAAATACTGCAATGTGAATTATTTTATGATAAAATGTTAAAAGTTTTCAACTTAATTTCTGGGAAGAGCTAAGTTATGTGAACATAAATGCATAAACAATGCATTTGCATTGCTATTCACTTTATCTACTTTTTGAGAAATATATACGAACAAAGTAACCAGCTTTAAAAATAGGCAAAGTTCTGAAAACGCTCCGAATATTTAAGCGTGTACAAAAATTATAATAGCTGTATGCGTTTCTTCAGCGAGAAAGTTTCTTTATATAGACATTTTGTCGAAACTATAGACGTCAAGCAGTTATGGAAAAACAAGACTCAGACATGCCCTTTACCATGGAAATTTACCATACCATATATCGCTTTGTGACCAAAGCAGCGGTTACAACTTATTTGCAAGTTGCAACCGCTTTAACTTCGTGTACAAAAGCTTCAGGAGTCCTGAACAGCTAGTCTCCATTTAAAATTCATGTATAGATAATATTGTCGCCAGATCAATGTTTCCCTTGTTCTATTGGTTCCCCCAAGGATCGAGCGAGTCTACAGCATCTTCACACTTCCATCTTTTCCGATGTCGATAATTTTTAAAGTTTTCAAAACCTAAAAGCACTTTGCTTATAGTATTTTTCAATTCAATGAGGTCATGCACTGCCACTAGTTATACATCGCTTCGCTCATGCGAATTAAATCAAATGCGAATATCAAGGACAGCGTTAAAATAGCCGGGGTGATGTCTAAAAATTAACGTGTAGTTCTACACTGCGTTTGAACCGTACGAATCATGTTCTAAAGGTTTTTCTTACACAAGCCGCAACGACAGGCTGGCGCCAGTCTGCCATGCAGAAAAGTTCGACGACAGGCTGGCGCTAGTTCGCCATGTAGAAATGTTCGACGACTGGCTGGCGCCCGTCAGTCATGTAGAGAAATTCGACGACAAACTGCCGCACGTCTGTCATATAGAAAAGTTCGAAGACAGTCTGGCGCCAGTCTGTCATGTAGAAAAGTTCGACGACAACCTGGCGCACGTCTGTCTTTTAAAAAAGTCCGACGACAAACTGGCGCACGTCTGTCGTGTAAAAAAGCTCGAAGACAGTCTGGCGCCAGTCTGTCATGTAGAAAAGTTCGACGAAAAGCTGGCGCCAGTTCGCCATGTAGAAATGTTCGACGACTGGCTTGCCCCGTCTGTCATGTAGAAATGTTCGACGACAAACTGGCGCCCGTCTGTCATGTAGAAAAGTTCGACGACAAACTGGCGCCCGTCTGTCATGTAAAAAAGTTCGACGACAGGCTGGTGCCAGTCTGTCATGTAAAAACGTTCGACGACAGGCTTGCGCAAGTCTACCAATTACTCCAGTTTAAAATGACTGGTTCTAGTCTGTCATGTTTGACGACTGAGTGGCGTCACTATATTATCACCACTATTTTTTTCTGACTGCAGCCAGTAGTTTGCCACATAAATACAAGGTTTATATAATATGAAAACATGAAATACCTTCAATTTCGCGTTTCCGGTCGCTCCGGTAACTTTCAAACCAAGTTTTGTCATTTCTTTCAATGTTAGACAACTAAGAACAAATGGCAATAGTAATGAGTCACATGAAAACACAATTTAAAATAACGTCATTGACAAACTAGCCTTCCAAAGATTATAAATATCATTGTTATATATATCAAATCCAATATTTTTTAAGCTAACCTGGCCTTACGATTCTTTTGAAAATATGTAAACAAGACATCATAAACCTATATCAAAAACAATATAAACAATAATTATTGCATGAAGGCTGGAGGTATTTCTACTTATGCAATACTGATCTTTGCTCAGTAATAAAACTGATCAGAAATCTATCTTGTGGTAAATCTACTTTTGGTAAAATTTAATTTATTTTCCATGTACATATAATTAAATAGGCATTGAAATAAGATACAAATTTTAAACTGGTTCTAAAGTACATTTTATATAAAAGTCAAAGACACTTTATTATTCAACAAAATAAGCTTTATATGCACCTGGTTGACATCTTCTAACTTTGACCTTCCACGCACCAAATCTGAGATGCTCATGAATTCATCTTCTGTCACAGGTTGGAAAGCACTGTCAATGGATCTGCATGTTGTATTTTGCATTAAATCTGAACAGAGAACACCTCAAACATTAGAACAATCTCAAGTATGCTAAATACATATATTACCGACAATATTTCCACATTCAAGAGCATTACCCGGTACACACTCCTGATGAAGAATCCTAAACTCTTCATTGTCCACATGTGTACTGGATTGTTGCATTCCAGTGTGTCGCTGAAGTTTGTTAACCATCCTTATTTGGTCTGATGTTAATCTTGACAATTCCTGTGACATTGTCTATCAAACAGAGGTTCAAATATTAAAATTGTAACTAAACAATCCAATACATAGCATCTACACAGCAATAAGAGTTGAATTAAATACCTTTTGATTTGTTTCTATTTCATCACTTTCTTTCATTAAAGTTCTGAAATCTTGCTTTGCTTTCTGAAGTCTTTCAATAAGACTAACTGGATTAATCTAAAACAGTATTCAAGATCTCACAATCTTGCCAACTACAGTACATACACTCTTTATGGGCAGACACACAACTTAAGGAAACCAGTGTGGAATATTAGACTTTTAGATCAAAGTGTCCAGCTTGGAAAACTCTCTTGTTTATGACTAGAATTCTTCAAATTTAGTTCATAGTTTGCATCAGATTGATACTGACCACTCCAGGCTTGCAACTAATCGTTTCAGATCACTCACAACTACGCATAGAACATTTTGATATAAGTTTTCCAATCTGGGCAAGTACAGAATAGTTTAATACTGATTTTTAATACTGATTGTATAACAGATTGTTAAAATTTATTATCAACAAAATGCATCATAAAATTAGACCTTCCATCCTCAGGTGCATGCGATAGCTATCAACTATCTAAGGCTTGAGTAAGAATGCTTTTGAATAGTTTAATACAGTATATAAAGGTCATTATAACGAACTAAACAATGTAAACACTGAACAAATTAATCTATTTTAAAATATATGCTCACTTCGCTTCGTAAACCATCCTCAGAACTTTTGTCGAACTCGTTTGACAATTTCAGCACGGCATAGTTCAAATCTGCGTCGATTTTTTCAACCTAAATTTACCCGACGAAATATAAATCAAATTTCCCGCCTAAAATATATTCAAAACAAGACGGGCAAATTACCCAAAAAAATTAAGGATTTGAAGGAATGTATTCGGAAACAGAAGCAAAAGCTATTTAATTTTAAGAAAGAAGCAAAAGCTATTATAAAGTGTTTAGCACTAAAGGTATATTTACAAATCGTACCAAAGCTTCCAAGCGATTCACTGCCGCCTCTACCGCCATTTTGCACCCGATTCCTATAGCCTTGCAAAAGGGTTTCGGATGAGGAACCACGGAGAGGCGGGAAAAATCTGGCCAGGAATTCCGAAGTATAAAATTCCAAGAATATTTATTATTAATTCGCCGTGAATAAAGACGCTGCAAGTCAATTTTCAATCCATTTTTGTGAATTTATGATCACAAAATGTTACTGTACAAAACTCTATAGAATGTACAACATTTGGAATACTCTAGCTTTTGTCTTCTACCAAAGCATCTTTTGTACAAGTCAAACGCTCCAGCTTCACCTCCAGTTTTATAGACAATGGTGGCGGCGGGGGTGGTGCTTCCTCGTCACCGTGTGCCTCACTCAATTCTTCCACTTTATCTTTTCCCTTTCCACCTTTGTTTCCTTTTCCAGCAAGAGGATTTGCGGATTTCGTCTTACCTTTTGCTGGAGGCATAATTTTAGGATGTTTGTCTCCATCCCCTGTCAGAGATAAAAATACCTTACAATATGAATACAACATTTTAAACAAACGCATCTTGCTTTAAAATCTCATTGCCCGCTAAAATTATAAACTGATTTAGGGGGAAAATTGAAATCAAGATTTTTGAACCAATTAGAAACTTTTATGTGCATTGCAAACTAACGCCAACCACCAGGTCACGACCCACCTTTCCCTTTCCTCTTGTCATCAGATCGTTTAGCACTCTGCAGTTCTGCATCACCCTCAGTTGTCCGATCATTTTCACCCCCCGTATTCTCCTCCACACACGGAGAGCTGACGTTGACCACAGTATCGCCATCCAGAAATGACGCAAGAAACACGTGACATGTGCCCACGGTTTTGCGCTCCTGGGGTAGTTCGAATAACTCGCTAACGTCACGTTTGTCCTTTTTCCCGCCTTTTTCCTTCCCAACCGTCACCTTAACAGCACTCTGGAAAAGACAAGCTGATTAAAAATAATACATAGTTTTACACTCGACCAAGAGGAGAATGTGCTGGAAAAGATTTCATTTCAATAGTACTTAGGTATATTCGGAAGCTATACTTTTGCTTTTAACTGCACAACAAGCCTTTTTATGCAATATTTTCACTTTTTTTACGTTACACAACTTGCATTAGGTTACCTTAGTTTTCGCCGACTTTTTCCCGTCCAATTTAATACGATCTTTAGACGCACTAGTTTTCACGGCATGCTTTTCCTGTGTTTTCTCCCCAGCTACCACAGCAGCAATGTTTTGATCCTCGCTAAGGCTTGGGTCGTCCGGCACGTACGAGTGTTTTACGGCAACCACCCCGAAAGTGATGCCGTCTTTGAGAAAACTCCTAAGCCGACTCAGCTCAGAAATCTTGATCGTTTTACAGAAGTCAAACTCAAGCATCTCTGCCCAAAGTAGGTTGTCAGTGGAAATACAATCAAGGTTGCCTGTGAATGCATGAAAATTCCTTAATAATCGGCATTAAACAAGGTAGTTTTGTAATGATGAGTTTTGCAAGTATACAGAATCCTCTTGGTATACGTTTGGTAAACTATAATTCACCTTCGCTATCGTTTGCGGCGGTATCTTCGAATTCTTTACCATCGATATTTTCAGTAATATCGCTTTGTTTTTCAATCTTGTCCTTCATGAACATAAATTCGACGTGATATTTATGCTCAACTTTTGGAAAATCGCCAGCTTCGGGGTCCTTTGACAAACAAATATGGCTGGACGTAATGTGAAAGTGTGAAAATAAAAAAATGTACCTACGTTGTTTTTTTTTCTGAATAGTTAGCTGGCTGATATTCTTTTGGTCGTTGCTAAGTTGTGTGATTAGGGTGCAAAACAAGGCCTCTCCACATCGATTATTACGAGTAAACAAACCTCGATTTGGACAGGATTCTTAACATCATTTATGCCAATGATTCGAACAGTCACATAACTGTTATTCACGTCTAAATCTGGTGTACAAAGTAAATATTTGAAATTCCAGAAAATGAAGAAAACAAATATAAATACTCAATATAAATACTGCATAAGTATGTAATTTCAAAATACATGGTTACCCTTGATTTTAGAAAATGATTTGAAACGATGTTTATCATCAGCGGAGACCTCTTGATTATCAAGATACGAAAGACCTGGAATGCTGTCAATCAAGAAACCATGGTAGCATTTCGCCAACTGGAGAAAGAACAACAACAAGCACTCAAAAAGTTTTCTTGTATCCACCAATGAATATGTTCATGGTTGGTCACAGCTGTATTACACATACTTACATGAAGTGGATTACCGACAAGTAGAAGATTTCTGAGAGCTGGAAGGTGTTTCAGAATTTCTACAGTACTTTGAAGATTGCTGAGGTTGTTGTAGCTGAGATCAAGTGATAGCAATGATGGCCTACCGTGGATGTTAAAATATGGTTGAGTGGACTGAGGAGTTTTGAGTGTTTTGTTTTTGTAGCTATTGATTCAAATTGGAAACCACACCCAACTTTAAAATATCATTTACAAGAACTGATATAGAAAACAGTGGACTTGCAACAATACCTAAGTAATTGGTATGTAGCTCTAACTCACCATTTTGAAGGAGTATAAGATCGTGGTAAAATGTTAGTGACCTGATTTTGAGCCAAGCCAAGATGCAGCAATGAGCAAAGATTGGCAGATTTCAGTGCACTTAGGTCAGAGACATTGTTTGCAGCTAACTCTAGGACCTAATATAGACAGAAGACGATTTAAGCTCCCACTCCACGCCCAAAACACTCGGACCTTGTCCCACCTCTACAATTTATGGATTTTCTTCATGAACGTTCCTACTGATTACAACAATTGTCTCCGCAAAAATTACCTCTAATCCTTTTGGTAAATTTTTCCCATCTATCTTGCTGATATGATTTGCAGACAGAATTAACTCCTTTAAGTTAACAAACTTTAAAATACCTTCGTCTATGATGTTAACCTGAATTGTACAATAGTCAACATCAGTATCACTATCTGGACTCACCAAATATACTTTTGGCCATGCATGAATATAATTCACAACACACGGGTTTTGCACCCTTCGGTAAATATAAGCCTACATCATATGAACGTATTGTTCGATTACTCAACACAGAAGCGAGTTTAGACGAGTAAAGGTAAAAAATGATGAACGTTTTGGAGTTACCCTATACTAGAGAATATATGGACCGTATTTATTGCGACGATAAGAAGTTTGGAGGAAGAGTGGTTTAGATCAATAAAATGTCACACTTTGAAAGTGTAATAATGCGAAATGGAGATGAATTTAGACTATTCACGATTTAAGATGGTTCCAATAACCGAGAATATAGACTTTCGATTTTTGTGCAAGCCCCAGCAACCTTTTACCGAATGAAATTTTCGTAAATTACATTTTTGTCTATAATTCTGAGCGTTGTGAAGTGCCTCAATACGAAACTAGGATCTTGCAAGAAATGTGGCGTCTCTATGGCAATCTTTCGTAAGTCTGCTGCCTCTTTACTCCAACCACCATCAACAGCATATGGAGAACTTTTCTCAAGGTCTAGCAAAGCTTCGACACTTTCATACTGCACTCCACCAGAATCTAGGCAAGAAGGTGTATTGTCACGAGTCAAAATGTTGTTTGTTTAACCACTACGTCTTCGATAATCTTTCAGTCTTACCATATTTTGATACACTTCGGCCCAATGCTTGCCTCTAAAACATCAAACATTGTTGAAATTTGACCCAAGAAAATTAGGTAATGTGATTAGGAATAGTTCTGTACTGGAATACATAAGTAGCTTTTTTAGATAAACTAGGACGTATATTTTGAAGCCTCTGTTTAAACAAACTTAAAAAGTTGGTAAATATATACTTTAGTGACTCCATAATCGATATTTGGTACAATTAAAACGATCCGTTAAGATAAGAGCAACAACATACCCAAGATCCAAGGCCGCAAGGAAAGTCTTCAATTCGAAGACTTTTGAGCTGTTCATAAAAAGCGTCCGTTGCACACAATTCAGACATCACTATTGGGAGAACATTGAAGCATGCAAAACGATTTAGAACGCTAAATTTCGCAAACGAAATTACATTTTATCGGACTGTCATTGTTATTGAGCCGCCATATTGTATTTCGTTACTATGGCAACTGCGAGTAGATACCAGTTTTCGGAACGCACAAAGCGGGGAGCTCGTTCTGGGGCTACAATTGGTAGCAAACTGGAGTATTTTTTTATTCTTTCTTTTACAGTTATACTTTAAACTCACCGTCTATGAAATATAGCCAGCAAATGTTAAATCACAGAATATATAAAGCGAGCATGCTCCTTGCTACCTCAAATAAACGGTTGTAGTGTAATTTTAAAGAAATGAAGAACAATTGGGGGTACTACAATGGTCAGTGAAGAGCTATGATTTTTATGAATGGATATAAAAATATCCTCGCGCTTTGAGAATTCCACGAACACAACATGAAACAGTTACTTTTTTTACTTCTTTCGGAAAACATAAGTTTCCAAAGAAATGAATATTCTCAAACCAAAGTGGAAGCCCAAGAATGATGTAAACAAAAATGGCGAGCAATACAACAGAGGAAAATGTTGGCGAAAACGAGAATAAAAAAGATCCAACAGCGCCCTCAGATCAAGACAAAAGCAAAGAACCCAACAATACAAACTTTGAATGTAACATATGTCTTGATACGGCGAAAGAAGCTGTAATTAGTATGTGCGGCCATTTGTTTTGGTAAGAAAAAAACACATTTGTGGGCAATATAATAGTGTTCATATACAATATTTATCAATTCAACTGCCCTGTGTAAACGGGTTACGTCCGTATTTCCGTTCCGTTTGGCACTTTATGCGTGATTTAACATGGTCCTAAACGTACAAAAACATGGTCAGGACGTACGCATACTTTTTTTTTAACTTTCATAGTGTTTCCAGGCGGCCCTAATAATCCCATATCAAAAATGCATCCTTATCGATAAGGTATTATAGTGGCATTAATAAGGGTTTCCTAATCTCAAATCTGCAGTCGATGCCATTCATGAAAGTAATTTTTCATGGCTTTGGAAGAGACTATCGCATTTTTAGAATGGGTTAGTACCCATTTTTTTGATCACTTTAGCTCCTCAATACAGACCCACATTACATCCTCTAGATACAAATTCCACAAAGGAGAGTGTCCACCTTAATTAACTACCCTGTCATTTTCATTTTAGTTGGCCATGTCTCTCAAGGGTAAGTAACAATTGGTTAAAATATTTTTAAAGAAATCAACCATTAAACCAACTTTAAATAAGAATCATGTTTTTTTCTGGTGATTTAAGTGTCTGTTCATGTTACAGTGGTTAGAGACAAGACCAAACAGATCTGCATGCCCTGTGTGCAAAGCGGGTATCAGTCGGGACAAAGTGATCCCTCTGTATGGCCGGGGGAGCGGTGATCAAACAGACCCGAGAGATAAAACACCGCCAAGACCTCAAGGACAAAGAACTGAACCAGAAAATAATGGAGTAAGATACACAAAAACTTCTTGAGGTCCCAACTGTGACATTTTGTTCCCCTTTTTGCCAACCTACTTGCCTCTTCTTGGCAACTTTGCTGTAACTTTTTGTATGAAAAATCTCTATGTATTTTGTTTGGGAGGGGGGGGGGGGAACCCCCCCAACAACATTCACCTCAAGGGGTTACAGACCCCTCCTGTGACATGGTGTGTGAATTACATCAATCAATGGCATTCTGTTGCAGCAAAACTACCATGTTTTACACTTCCATGTTTTACATAAAAATGCCTTACCTTTTTTCGTTTTCTTACCGTTGTCGAAGAGAATGTGGGTCAGTCGTATTTTTAAAATTCTTCATGTTCTTGTTTCTCTTGCTTCCATCTCACCTGGAAAATTTACTCAATAGCACAAAATAGCGATAAAAAACTTCCTTGATGCATTTTTAGCAAGAAAAAGATAAAATACTTATGTTTCGCCGTAGGATTGTTGAGATTTTTTATTACTCAGTCTTTCAAAAACGAAATATGGAACTGTCTTCCATTAAATTATCGAAACCACTGATTGAAACGGTAAAAAATCAAAATGGCGCCGCCAAAGGTGCTTCCACTATCAAAGATTGTTATTCTTTCGAAATTTGTAATTTCCACAAGATTTCCGTTCACAATAGTTGACGTGATTTCCCCAGTTTACAGCCGTTTTTCTTATAGCGTCAAGGTTCAAGTCCTCTACGCATTTTGACACGAAAAATTGCTTGAATATCGCTGTAATAACTAAAGTCTATCGTTAAACGTCGTATACTTTAGCAAAAACATTACACTTGTGATCGTGTGTTCAAAGTAATGCAATCAACTTATACTAAAATTCTCACCCGATTATTTAATATTACTTCGCTTCAGATATTTCCTGGGTTGGATATGGGTGGTGGTTGGCATGTATCATTTGGTATAGGAGCTTTTCCCTTCACATTCTTAACGGCAGGAGCTGGTGTAAGTATGAGATGGGGGGCGTTGAGTGTATACCAAACTCCAAAGATATTGAATCTTAAGGAGGCCCTAGTCGGATGGAAATTAATCATACATACATAATAACAAACAATAATAAAATATGTTATTTTTCTTTGCTTTATCTTAGAATGTCGGTGGTTTTGGACAGGGTAAGTTTAAGTCTTCTTATCAAGAGTCAAGACTACGGATTAGATATTTGTCACATATTATCATCGCATGTCCATCTGCTGTTTAATCAGCACGTCAAGCACTCAGGAAAGTTGAACATAAGCTCATTCGTAAACTTGAACTTCTGCGGCCGGATGTGTCAAGCCCATTTAGCTTAAACGGTGGTTAAGTTCAAAATAGAAAGCAAGTCTATCGTTTTATTGAACAAGCAAAGTAAATGTTTTCAACCATAATACAAAGATACTGTTTACAACTACATCATATTCAGTGCATAAAATTCAAGTTGACTCATTCAAGAGAGATCTAAGAGTGTTATTTTAATCTTGACTTATCCACCGTGTAAGCTAAACCATAAACGGGCTTGACACAACCGCCCCCTATATATTATTATATATATTGTCTATAGTAATTCTCGATATTTTTTCAGCTCCGGCTCCCGGATCACCTCAGGAAGCGCAGGAACAATTTCTTTCAAAAATATTCCTTTGGGTGGCACTCGCTTTTCTCTTTTGGCTTTTCATTGCCTGAATGATCCAAGAATGTAAAAAACCATAGGAATGTCATACGAAATTATATGCAGCCACGTACGCATGCGTAAAAGTCTCGCGCTTACGTTCTTCTACACATGCCTATGAGCCATATAGTTTAATATCGTCTGAATATGAACCAGACCAATCGTCAACATATGTTCACTATATGTATTGTTTCGTAAGTTTAAGTTGAGAGTTTTATTCGCGCTGATGATGGTATTGTTATAGATTGCGGTTGTAAAATATGGAGGAACAGAAAAATGGAACTGTACTATGCCATATGGCATGTTTCAACATGAAAAGAAATTGTAAATATGACAATCTAAGAGATTCGTAAATAAATTTTAGGGAAAATGTGATTAACTAATTTCCTAAGTGTTTTCTGTTAGTCCGAACTTTAGAACCGTGTCTAAACGTATTGTTTTTTACACAGCGCAACGTGTTTCGTTATACGCATGCATGATTCGTATTCTAACACGTGCACATTCTCTAAATTGCATCTTGTATATGGCACAACCAAACGATGCAAAGAGTAAAAACGCGCATCGTGTGATAATAGCCCATGGACAGAGGCAGAATGCATACTATTAACAATATGCATGCTTTTATGAAGGTAAAAATTTACGTATTTTAACAATGCACTCAAAATCGTGCATACGGGAACGTTTAAAAAACCGACACTAATTTTAGAACCGTAATAACCCAGACCATAAGACATTCCTTTCAATCAACACTTTCTAATCAATCTCGGACACGAAAATTCCTCGTTCCGAAGCTACAGGGTGTAAATGCGACCATGTAGCATTCACCATTCCAACTCTTCTAACTCCCTCCCTTCACCACCGGCTTGCATAGATAGTATTGTTACGTAATTACTATACGTTTTTCGCCATTACGTTTTTGCAGTTGTTCCGCTTTCCTTTCCTTAAACCACAAGAGGATTGGAAGAACATTCAGATACAAACAAGACACTAGAAAACCAACATTCACCTATATCGAAAAAGAAACACGCTATATTCAAAATGGTCTCTTGAAAATATTCATGCTATACGTGAAATTGCTTTGACGAAAATCACCCATAAAAAGTGGCTTATAGTGTGACCACCACTGACATGCATGCTAAGTTGCATGTCTCTGGAGTGTGACGTTAATTATCACAACCGCAGGTGATGTAAGATAAGATTGAGATGGGCTGCGACAAGTTCAATTTGTTTGGCTCAAATAATGTGAAGATGTATGAAGTAAGCCAAACTATACATATAGCGATTAAAAATGATTTTACTTTTGATAACGGGTAGTTCTTCAACGTATAAGCATTGGTCTACATATTCATAGATAAATAGCTAAATATTTTACGTGCAGTACGTACCCAAAATGGATCTTTCTCAAGGGTATCTTCGGAAATCGTAAACAGACCATACTGTATAGAACCTATTACTGCTGATATCAGATGGCCTGCGCCGTATAATTTTCCAAATTGCGACAATGGAAATCTAAGTAAAAAGGGAATAAGTACAAAATACCTATCAAAAACGCACAAAGCCCAGAGCGAAAAAAAACACCACGTTACGAATGCAGCGATCAATAGGTACACGACGTTTTTGCAACCTGATGCAATTGGAATTCATTTTTGCCAATATTTTTGACAAAGTTTTAAGGAAAAGAGTAAAAACGCCAGGGTTTTAAGCGTTGGCAATACAATAAATGTCAATATATTTGTCACACAAGTATATGTGCAGGAAACTTACTTGTGTAAGAGAAACGCTGAATAGACAGTGTAGACGAAGGCTCTTAGAACAACTTGAACGACGAAAGACGCATACTAGAACGTCAAAATGGTATATATTAACACTTCGTTATTAGTGGAATTAGCTAAAAAAAGATAATTCCATCGACGCATGCGGCGTGTTCATACCTGCACAGAAAGGTCAGGGACAAGAACCAAAATATTTAAAACGAAAGCGGTGAATGAGGTGAGAAAAAACCCAACAACAAAACCCAAATCAGTTTTCTGATTTCGCTTTCCTTTCGGTTTCCAATCCATGACAATACCAACGATAGGCGCGAAAACAAAACCGGAAAACTGCGCGATCCCAAACCAGTTCGTGTAGTGACTTACTAAAAAACGTGGAAACAGAAGATACTAAATATTATTGATCCTCGAGCGTCGGCTAGACCTAATGACTTTCAAATAAAAAAATGCGCTCTGTTTTGCTGCCACCCTAGTTACACGGTTCAATTTTTCATGCAACTTGCAATACGATTATACTTTTGAGAGATGTAGATTTAGCAACTACGAAACTTTTGTTTTTATTATTATACTCCATGGAAGTTTCTCGCACTTATATTTGGGGGATCTTCACTAATTTGCATCTCCTAAAAGCAGAATTTCATTGCAACTTGCAAGAGAAATTGCACCGTGTAACAGGGCCTTAAGGTTTCACGTCTAGGTCCACCAGAACTTCATGCCGAAATTCGATCTCATAAAATTTGAGTATCACACTGGAGAACTATCACACTGGAGAAGACAAGTTCTTCGAAAATACTGCATGCAAATTTCGACTTTTCATATTTTATTTTACTCTATTTAATTCGATAAATTGATCATGAAATATCATCTCGAAAGTCTTTAAGATGTTACGTTTCCAAGTATACTTTCTACATTTCACTACATTTCCTACATTTCATTTCTTATTTACCTGTATCATGGTCATTGTCAGACATGAATTCCAAATACGAGTTTAAGTAACCGACGTAAAACCACAAACGAAGGTTACACAAACTAAGAAAAAACGTCGTGTGGATATACTCGGAGGTTAACATCAAGCTTATCAATCGGGGCGTAGAATCTGTGATAGAAAGACAGAAATGATGTTAGTTATAATATGCTGCATGTGACACTTTACCACTGAAAGCAGACAATTACAAAAAAAAGCAAAAATAAAACAAGTATACACATTATATCAGTGATATCTTGTCTTTATTACAAGAACATCGTCAGTATGTGAGCTTTTCTGTACCTGGGCTAGTTCCACCACCGTCCTTTTTATCTTTGATTTCATCGTCTTCGTATTCTTCTGATTGAAAAAGTGGAGACAACTGTGAATCAGCTTCCTGCTCCACCTTTCCATTCTTTTCAGGAGTCTTTCCTATCGAATTCGACTCCGATTCCCTAATTATTCTATTTGTTCCGTTTGCTTGATCACCTTGTACAAGTGGCTTGTCTACGGTCTTCAAAGAAAAAATGAACATTTTTCATTTCTCTTAGCTTTACTAAATGTTTCTTCCGCCTCCTCTCTTTTGCCTGAAATTGAATCAGCACAAAATTTCGCTAGGACCAAGCCTAACTTCAATGCTTAAGTTCTCTTTACACCAAACTGAGGCTTTGTCGTAAAAGCTATTAATAACGTAAAGGGAAGAAATATCTTCGGACCAAAAAATAGTCATATCAATTCCAGCATACAGTTATCGCATTGACTTACTTCGTGTGTGGAATGAATATTGTCATGAGAGGACTCTGGATTCTCCGAACCATTGATTTCACGAATTCTCTCAGAGGTGATTGTAAAAGAAGGTAGAATAAATGTGAAGATAAGGATGGCAACAATGGCGAAAATGTAAAAAAATATATTGATCGACCGTAATGGAACACCAGCATCGTACACCAACTAGTAGGTAGAAACAGAAAGAAAAATTTGATTAATGTTATATCAATTTTTCCTAGAACTAAACTTCTATCACAGGATAGCATAGCACAGCATGGCATAGCATATCATAGCACAGCATGGCATAGCACAGCATGGCATAGCATAGCATAGCATAGCATAGCATAGCATAGCATAGCATAGCATAGCATAGCATGGCATGGCATGGCATGGCATGGCATGGCATGGCATGGCATAGCATAGCATAGCATGGCACGGCACGGCACAGCACGGCATTGCATAGCATAGCGTAGCGTAGCATAGCATAGCATAGCCTAGCATAGCATAGCATAGAATACACACAGCCTTACCTTGAAAAACAGTAGTACGATTGCTGATGAATCTACTGCTCCATTAAACACACTTATGACTGAAGACTTCCATTTTTCAAACATATTTGCAACCTAAATGGCAGAAATGGAATTTTCTATTCCGCTCTCTTGTGTCTGATCATTTTGGGAACCCCTGATTAAGCCTGGTGCCGGGGCATTGCCCCCTTTGCCTTCTCACAGAGTTTCTGCAGTTTTTGGACCATGATGCTTCGAGAGCGAAATCGAGTCATCACGTGTAACGTCGCAATATAAAGAAGTACACTCTACCTGAAAAATGGTCAGTAATAGGGTGAGTCCAGCCGCTGACAGGGTCAGAATCCCAGGAAAAATCAAATTTGGCCTGTCTGTAAAAATGTTGTGAAATTGTCATATGATATAACCTTTGCAACAGATTACTCCTGATATTTAACGAAATACCTTTGTCTGCCAGCACAAAGAACAGGAAAGTCAACCCGAAAAGGAAACTAAAATAAAAAAATAAGTCCACGTTTAGCGCATGTGTTGTGTACTAGGCTGCAGCACGTGACCAGTATTTTATACCCTTTGCACGCGTAAAAATAATAAGTTGTTGGAATAAATTTGGCTGCAAACTGCAAAGCTGTGCACGGACTACCGATCACAATCGTTGGCATATTCCTCATTATCGTTACACTCGATTAAATATCCTGTTAGCAATAAGTGCAGCAAATTAATGTTGACTGCGGGCTCAGTAACACGCTCCGCTGCAATGCTGACCACGGGCTCACGTTTCCAAGTGATATACTCATCCCTTTGGCCATGTCATTGTGTTCATTTCAGGTTTAATTTCCTTTTAAGATCTGTTAAACTTACGGCTGAATTTTCGTATCGGATTGTTTATTAATGCGGCTATGCGGCGCGAAATTTGAAGCGCGTTTCCACTACTTTTATACTGTTCACACTACGTGCACCGGCATGTACCGGATTAATTTTAATATCACCTCCAATGAATGCGGACAGAAACTGAATCCAGTATGAAAATTGCGACGCAACGATGCAATCCGGTATAGTGTAAACATGATCTACATATCTGCAGCTCATTCGATATTCCGGTCCCTGTTTCAACATGTTTTCATAAAAATTCAGTAATCGTAAAGCTTTTAAATTACTGGCTTTGTAGCTGTTAATACACATGCATTGTAATGATTGTATTGATTAGTAATCGGAAACAAGATCAACGTGTCATCATTAAATGACTGAATATATTCAATGCTTCGTTGACATTATAATATTATTGCAATTATTTTAGTCAAATTTATCATTTCAAATTTGTACACTTAATGACAACCTTGACCTCAATTGACACTATATTCTACAAAGTTTTTAAATTGCTTCTTGAAGCTGAAATTTACATCGATACTACGGTTCCACAAATATTTATACTTTGCTTCAAATTGCTCATTTGCTTTACGAGTTGAGCTGCCATCAAACGACTTTAAAAGTATGTTTACTAATACTCGTGCTAATATGTCGGCTTGCCTTCGTCGAAATTAAGCCTACCTTGAGAGTAGTCGTGTCTTCCTCGGTCCAAAGCGATCAAGAAAGGCTCCCGAGAAAAAACCACTCGCAGAAAACGAAATAACGCCGGTCAAAAATACTAAATTCAACCGCTCGTCTTGCTCCAAGCAATCGCCGGTTACGGAACTCGAATTTCTTTTATTTTCAAACTTTGTATGACCCTCGCACAAGCCATGGAAAAAATTTTCCTGCTTTAAGACCACAACTAATGATGCCCAGCCGTAGACTATGGCTGACATGAAAAATACTTCTAACACACTCCATAATAGTATTAAATAACGTTGCTTATAAACACGTTGAAGGGCAGCCATTTTAATACAAGTCACGCTAGATATTACTTTGCATAATAATAAATACGAAAGGCGCCGGTGGCCCGGTGGCCTTGGCGTTGGCGTTGATGTTTGATCTCAACGAATAATAATTAATCAGCAGACAAGAAACACGTTGTTCTTTTCACAAGAATGTCCAACTGGAAGCTCCAGAAACGCTGTGACTTTTGAGAAACGAATCCCTTAGCTTAAGAAGCCAGTGCGAGTAGCACTCAAATCTCAATTTGTGAATTTTTTCTGCTGTTGTTATGCAGTCGCGTGTATGAAATGAATTACAACAATGTCAAAGTCGAAGACAGTCTTCGACACAAAATTTTTTAATTGTCTTTCTGTTGGGCCAAAGTTCAAAATTCGTGGTTTATTTGCAAATTGTAGACATTCTTTTTCAATAATATAACTCGTCATGTAGCCGTAGGTGGGATCAAACTCTCAAGTTATAATCATTTCAAAATAGCAGTGAGGACAGGTACTGGGGTCGGTTGTATCAAGCCCGTTTAGCTTAAACGGTTGATAAGTCAAAATTAAATAACACACTTAGATCTCTCTTGAATGAATCAACTTGAATATTATGCACTGAATATGTAGTTGTAAACAGTATTTTTGTATTAAGGTTAAAAACGTTTACTTTGCTTGTTGAATATAACCAAAGACGTGCTTTCTATTTTGAACTTAACCACCGTTTAAGCTAAACGGGCTTGATACAACCGGCAGGAGGCTGTTTTGGGACGAACTGCGGCTTAGGCCACACAATTCAGTGTGACCAGATCTGGTAATTTTGATTACCATATTTGGTCAAATGTTCATAAACAGCCCCACCAGATTTTTTTCATCAATCAGGCCACGGAAAACAGACATCGTCGACGAGTTACAACATATGAACCAGGCTTTGAAATAAATCTTTAGGAAACAAACATGCTTTTGTTGAGGTAACTACATCGGGATCATGTTATATTTAATCATTTCAAAGTCATGTCAAGCCTTCTCTCATCACGACTAAGGGGCTATTTACATGATCCCGCTTAGCCAAGATTAAACCTGACGTCGAATGACTTTGGGGTATTGAAATCAGTAGATAACATCATCCTTTCATTCGTATTCATCCCAACAACAGCATTTTCTCGTCTTGTTTCAATAAACACTTATTTTAATACCACCCTTCGTTGAAACCTGGATATAAATTGGGCTTATATGCGTGTAAACAGCACCTAAGCGGGGTGATGTTTAACAGCACTTATAAAGGTCATTTCAGGTGCATGGTGAAGAAATATTCGAAAAATTGTATAAAAACTACTTGCAATTCATCCCAAATATGTCAGAGTGAGATAGTAATATTGCTGTAGTTAGGAGACTCGATAACAGATTAAAATGGCTAAATAGTTTGCCAATGTCTTGTATTAATGAACCATGATAAGTGTACGATTTTTGGCAAGTACATGAATAGTTTTATGCCAATAATACCTTTTGTTTGAGCTTTGTGATATAAGCTATATGACGTGTGACAGCAGCTAGCTCTTACCTTGAAAGAAGTCTTGTTTTTCTTGGTCCGAAACGATCCAGAAAGGCCCCGGAAACAAACGCACCCCAAGCTAACGAGATAACACCGATCAGAAAGACCAAATTCAACCGTTTGTCCTGCTTGATGCAATAGTCATTATGGGAAGTCACGTTTCCTTCGTGCTTGGGCGGGCACAAGTCGCGAAAAAAGCCCTCTTTCTTTAAGACCACTACAAGAGAGGCCCAACCAAAAATGACAGCCGATAAAAGCATAACCTCTACTAGGCTCCAGACTAGTATAATGACACGTTGCTTGTAAACACTTTGCAAGGAAGCCATCAATTGCCAAACCAGACATCAGGAACGTTTTAAATCGGGGACTTCGTTATAAATCGTTCTCCAAAAAGATAAAGCCTGTGGAGTTTCAGATTGAGATGGCGTCAACGGGTGAGGATTTACGTTCACCAAATACGCTTAGCCTGTTAAAAAAAATCCAGCTTTATTGTTTTTGCCAAAGCCTCAGAATCAACTGCAGTAAAGGTTATACTGTGTTATTTAAAAAAGAATATTGTAAAATCATTGTAAAACATAAAAATTAAAAAAATATTGTAAAACGTACGTTTTGAATATCGTTTTTCTATGATAAACAGGGGGGTACCAAGCAGGTGGGGCGTGAGGAGCGGGGGGGGGTTGACACCCCCTCTTTTTCTCAAAATGGTCGGCAAAATTTCTTGTCTTTGACTGTAAAGAAGATTTGAAAAACTGACAACAATTTGACTACAATTGATAGATATTGCTCCACAATACGTAGAGAAATTGAATGCAAAAGTCCAAAAGTTAATAATATTTTCGGTTCTCTAAACCACATGAAAGATATTGAAATAAAAAGCATAATGCAGTTGGACGACCACATTACATCTCCAAGATTTACGGAGGAAAATAATTATCTGCATCACACCACTCTTACATCTAACAGAGTTTGGGGTCTTATATTAATATTTTAAAAGTGGAATAACTTTATTTTGAATTAAAATAACTTTATAAATTGGTATATCACCACAGCAAGACAGTCAGACCAGATCCGCGACGATTTAATAAAGTAAATATTTCGAGCCAGTTGTATATACGCACTTAGCAAACATTTGCGTCGTTAAATCGCACTAAACTCAACACCATTCTGATTGGCCAGCTCTGTAACTAACTGTATAATTAAAAGTTAATGCAGTATAGCTTTTAATGACAATACGACAATAACTTATCATCGATATGACGCAGTTTTAACATGCAATATTTCCAATTATCCATGCATGGTCGATGTCGTATAAAGAAATTTGCAATGCAAAATGCAATTATCTTCAAATATGTACAGATGATCGCGATTTGCCAAGATTTTGAGAAGAACTACATATATATACTGTACATGTGTGTGGATCTTCGCTACCTCGAGATTGACAACAACACATGACTTATCATTATACAGCCAGAAGATCCAACCATAGATTCGCATAACTTTATCGCTGTAAATTTATCTGGCTTGCCTCAGGCACCAATCCATTTGACAAATAGAATGTCAAATTGTCTTTTATTGCATGCAGTTAAGCGAAGAATTAGAGAGACTTAATACAAGTGTGTTGTTATGAAAAGTATCCGAGTTACGCATCCGTAGTTGTTATACCATATTTAAAGCGTTGTTTGAAGACGCTGCTTCCTAATCCTGGCTATATTCGATGTAAATAGTTTAATTTTCAATGTACATATTTAAGTGCATATTTCAAGTACATAATTATTTAAAGATGCACGAGAGGCTCAGTGATTCACAAGATGTATGAGAGTATTTTTCAATCTTTGGCTAATCCACCGTTTAGGCTAAACGCCTTTCGAACAACTGGCCCCAGGAGCACAGTCCTAATTAAGGTTTGTAAACATTACTGTCTTTCTCTGTTCGCTACAAAGTGCAATGTGCAAGTACAGAACGCATTAAGTGCGAACAGTTTAATCTCTGCATCGCTCAGCTTGAGTCGTTTAGCTAGATATAAATACTTTTTTATATGTCGATTTTGTAATTCGTCGATATATCTACATTAGGTTAGGCACATGAAAAGTTGGACATCTGTAACGGACCTATAATTGACACAAAAAATGTTTTGCCAAACTAAAAAAATATCTTCTCTATGATAAACCGATAATTGATCGTAGAGCATCCATATGTAAGCATTTGGTCACATGAAAACCAGGGTTAACAGCACCTTTTTCATAAATTTCATGTCATAATGGCTAGAAATATAATCAAATAATTGTGTGTCAAAAAATCACCGATAGAAAATCACTTAAATTTTACTCCGCTGTTTTGGTTTATATGCTTCTGCACATTTTCAATACTTCACAAAATAAGACTTCTTTGTCCTCAAAATATTTAAGAAACAAAATATTTATCAATTTCATAAACGAGCGATTAAAAAACTGGGGGCGGTTGTTCGAAAGGCGTTTAGCTTAAACGGTGGATACGTTCAAAATGGAAAACAAATTAAAATGATCTATTTATTGAACAAATGAGCTGAAATATTTCGATGTAATTTTAAATAGTTTAACTTTCAATGGGAGGACATATTTAATGCAAAAGATGTAGGTTTAGTCATTCACAAGTTGTATGAGAGTATTTTTAAACTTTGGGTTTAAGCTGAACGCCTTTCGAACAACCGGCCCCTGGTTCCCTGTTCATTTTTACTTATATATCACTTGGTTAGTCATAGGTTTTTCAATATAATTAAATTTGATATTTGTAAATATAGATAAGTTCAGTTAAATTATAGTATAAATATTTACAGCTTAATATTACAGCTTAATATTTTGCAAATAGCTTCTGAAAAACCCATGCGGGAGAAAATTTAAATTAATCTATCATAATTACAAATATCAAGAATTTTGTATGTGGCTAACCAATCAAAACGGAGATTACAATGAAGAACAGTTGCTTCTAAAAGTCGAAACATAACATTGTTTCAGTGCACTTGTGTTGTTTTCAAAACATCACGAAACATGAAACATCTACTTCAGTTGTCTTGTAAATTTTTCTCCATAATATTTTCAGCAAACGATGATAAGATCACAACGTCGCCAGGCTATTCTTACATTCCTCGCTGTCATCGGCAGTGTTTCGCTCTTAAACTTCGTTGGAACTTTCTTAAACAAGACATTCAGCACGTTTGGTCCATGCCTTTGTAATTCTCGCATCATTTTCAACGAATCCGGAGTGATAGACACGAGCAGCTGCTGGAGACAACTGGCTAAAACTACGTACGTGTTCACAGCGTATTTAGATGATCGTGATCCTTGCATGGCACTTATTACTGTTTTGGGATTTGGCGTAATGTCAGAGGCGCCACTTCGTGGTACGTTGTTGCTGCACAGCGGTGAACGAATAGAGCTCGGAAAGTACAAAAAAAAGATGATACTGAACCCGTACGGAGACTACTCCCTCGAAAGACTGGGACCGTATACGTATTCTTGGCCGTTGCCCGCTACAGTTCCTTCGGTAGGCTATCTGAAGTCGATTGAGGTTCAACAGATTAGATCGTACGCAGGTAACGAAAGAAACTTCCTTTTCTGCACGAGCAACCAAGTGCAAATGTGTCGTTTTATACTGATAGAAGCAATCAAATTGCCATATAAAGAGCGAGAGATTGAACTTTGCAAGGCCATATTTTCCACATTTTACAACATCGCATGCAGTGAGACTTTGCAATTTCCATTATTTTCTCCAGATAAGAAATCAGCCCAACATGAAAATCGTCCGCTTTTTTTCTGCACCTTATCACGCATGCATAAAGAATCCCTTCGATTCTCTCATTATCGTATTGATGGGTCGTTTAAACCAATGTTTTCTCTTGGTTTTAGGTAAAACAGAAACGACTGTAATTCCTATAACACGGCCAGTCTACTCGACCAAAACGTTCGGAGTTTGCATAGATTCGCCATTATTTGGAAATGTAGACGCACGTGCCATTATCGAGAACATCGAAATCAACAAAGTGCTCGGAGCAGAATGGTTTACATTTTATATTTACAACTCCGATCAAGCAGCGCTTCAGGTATTGGTAATAATTTATATCATTCAGTGTTCAGTAAATCCTAAATACGCGAATTTAATCCTTAAGATTAGGGTAGGTTAGGATTAGGTCTTAAATTAGGTTTAGGTTAGGATTACGTCTTAGATTAGGTGTTTGGATTAGGTCTTAGATTAGGGTTAGGATTAGGTCTTAGATTAGGTTTAGGTTAGGATTATGTCTTAGATTAAGTTTAGTCGTTTTAAAGTTGGAGAACTAACCCATGATAACATACCTCTGATCATTGATACGAATTCGTAGATGATGTTTTTAGTGATCCTATTTGCTACGAGCTTTGCACGTACATGAGTCTCAGGGCTGGCCTGGCTTGATTTCTACCAAAGGATTAATTTCTCACATTCGCTTTGACATGTTCTGAAAATGGGCAGAAAATTTCCCTATGACATTCAGTTCACAAGCATCCTCCCGGGGTAGTGTTACATGATACCTATCATGTAGTTATAATATATATTCAATAAACTTTAGTATAACCTTAGTTAACCTTACATGCATGAGTAAGGGAATATTTGCGGAGAACCTCATCCCGCAAACCAACAAACGTAAACGACATAGCTTGGTTTGGGGCTAACCATGTTTATTTGCTTATTCACGCTGTATTGCGTAGGGGAAATGTGTCGCAGTTCTATAGTTTCTTCCCCTACCAAACCATATAAAAATCGGAGCACAACTCTCGAAAGCATGCATTATTCATAAGGCGCTAGCCTGAATAGCATCATTGCTTTGAAAATTATTTAAAGAAGTAACGTGGAAAGAACCACAAATCACAAGAACTAAAGAGAACCTTTACAAAAGAAAGAAACGGAGTTGTCAAGATATCGAGAGTTGTGCTCAGTCAGATAAGTCGAACTGTTATAAAGTAATATTATATATATCAAAAGACGTTATTAATTGTTTAACTATAAATATAGCATCAAAGAATAAATCATTGGAAAGTAATCGGTTTCACGATCTTTGTTGCGAGCGAATTGAGCCAAAAGCGCAGCCATTATAATAGTTAAAAGGACCGGCTCGTAACAAATTGGGGGCTCGCCCGGGAATTAATTTTGATTTCCGACTATACATTGCATGAATAAAACCGAACGGCGTACTTTAGGACCAAAATTTTTCAAAAAAATAAAACAAACATTTTAAAAGTATAAAACGTACAAGTGAAACCAGTTATTTTACAATGTCTGCATTCGACCCTCAGGAATATATGGTGGAACCAAGCGAGAGTACATTAAAACAATTGAGGAAAGATGATTTAATAGCGTTAGGAAAACATTTAAAAATCGAAGTAAGAAGTTCAATGCGTAAAAGAGAAATTCAGAAACTCATAATAGAACACTTAGTAAAAGTGACAGAGACATTTGAACCGTCTGTCTTAGAATCTTTTATTCATATACAACAACCAAGTCAGCCTGCGACCGAAGCAGCGGGTAGTAATGATAGCGTAGAAAATAGGACTAGACAAATCAGTAACAGTGAGGAAAATAGCGAAAGGGAAAAACAATGGCAGAGAGAACAGGAGGAAATTGCATGGCGAAGAGAGAGAGAGACACGAGAGTGGGAGGCACAGAAAGTGCGAGAGGAAAGAGAGTTCAGGCTAAAAGAACAGCAAAATGAGATAGAGAAATTAAGGCTCCAATCTAAGTCCTCAGATAGTCACACGCAAAGTTCAAGTCATTTCGATGTAACAAAACATATAAGAATGGTTCCACCGTTTCAGGAGCGGGAAGTTGATAAGTACTTTTTGCATTTCGAAAAGGTCGCTGAAAACTGTCACTGGCCTAAAGATAGTTGGACAATGCTTTTACAAAGCGTCCTTATAGGAAAAGCCCGTGAAATTTTTTCCCAACTTTCTGTCGAAGATTGCGCGAAATACGACACCGTCAAGGAACTGATTTTAAAGGGTTATGAGTTGGTCCCCGAAGCTTATCGACAAAATTTCCGTAATCTAAACAAAACTGGCAACAAAACTTTCATTGAATTTGCCCGCGAGAAAGCTCAGCTTTTCGACCGATGGTGCACGTCAGAAAACACCAACCACAATTACGATCGTCTACGTGAACTTATTTTGATTGAAGAATTTAAAAACTGCCTTAATAGTGATACTCGAACATTCGTAAACGATCACAAGGCTACTACGCTGAATGACGCGGCACGCTTGGCGGATAACTTCTCGCTGACGCATAAGCTTTCGAACACGACCTCAAAAAATAATACATCCTTCTCTCCTCGTGGTAACTACCAAAACCATTTCAGCGACAATAAACGTTTCCCATCACCTAAGCCATTCCAGGGACGAAACCCCGACAATACTTTCGGTCATTACCATAATAAACTGCCGTTTAAATCAATTAGCTGTGATTATTGCAAACGAAAAGGTCACACTCGATCAGAGTGTTATTCTTTGAAAATGAATAGGCCACCGCCAAAACCAACAGGTGTTATCTCTAAAACAAATTCGAACTTACAGAATGTGAATGCACTGTACCAAGCCTTTCCCAAGGCGGACAAGGAATGTAAGGTTAAGCTTCCAGTTGACCCTGTCATGGACTCATTTAAGCCATTCATTTTTGACGGTTCTATATCACTCTCAAATGACCAGCCGATTGTGCATAAACCAATCAAAATTTTACGCGATACCGGTGCTTCGCAATCACTGATACTTACTAATACGTTGCCATTTTCTGAAAGGTCTTACTCAGGCAATAGTGTCTTAATACGTGGAGTTGATTCAAATTATCGTTCAATCCCATTACATAAATCAAATTTGCAATCGGATTTAGTGTCAGGCGACGTTAACATAGGAGTCATCGAATCTTTACCTTTTGACGGAATAGATCTGTTGCTAGGAAACGATTTAGCCGGCGACAAAGTTAAAATTAACCCGATAGTAACAGACAGACCACATCAACAACACGACCTCGCCGAACAGGTTATTCCGCATCTGTATCCATCATGCGCCGTTACTAGAGCTATGAAAAAACGCGAAGAATCGAATGAGGTACAACAAGTGCAGGTCAATGACTTTGACCTTTCTGATACTTTTCTTTCTGATATATTTGAAAATACTAAGCCAACTAATATAGACGACAAATTTTCACGGTCCAACTTAATAACCGAACAACAAAATGATCCAGAGATTTCGGTGCTTTACCAAAAGGCTTCAACCGAGCAAGAAGCAACAATGGATCCTATATCTTACTTTCTTAAAAACAAAGTGTTAATGAGGAAATGGCGTCCTTCGGACGTTTCAGCTGATGATGAATGGGCGTTTCGTTATCAAATTATTGTTCCAAAATCTTACAGACCCGAAATTCTCAGTTTGGCACACGATACTCCACTGTCAGGTCATTTAGGAATAAATAAAACGTTGCAAAAAATAACCACTCACTTTTATTGGCCGGGTATTCGGAAAGATGTCGTCGAATTTTGCAAAACATGCGACACATGTCAAATTGTCGGTAAACCGAACCAAGTAATTCCGAAAGCACCATTAAAACCAATACCTGCTTTCGATGAACCATTTAGTAGAGTCATGATTGATTGTGTCGGCCCGCTTCCAAAAACTAAGAAAGGCAATCAATACCTATTAACCATTATGTGTGTTTCAACTCGCTTTCCGGAAGCCATACCATTAAGAAATATCACAGCAAAAACAATTGTCCAAGCGCTTACAAAATTCTTCACACTATTTGGCCTTCCAAAATCCATCCAGTCTGACCAAGGATCGAATTTTATGTCTGGCTTGTTTCAACAAGTGATGGCCGAACTAGGCATTCGCCAATTTAAATCGAGCGCATACCATCCGGAAAGTCAAGGGGCCTTTGAACGATTTCACCAAACCCTGAAGAACATGATTAGAATGTATTGCCAAGATACCGAGAAAAATTGGGATGAGGGAATTCACCTACTCTTGTTTGCCGCACGCGACTCGGTACAAGAATCCTTAGGTTTCACTCCATTTGAACTTGTTTTCGGTCATACAGTACGAGGACCACTTAAACTTCTGAAACAAGTGTTCCCCTTGCAGTCTTCACCGACCACAACCCGCTAGTGTTTCTACATCGACTGAAGAACAAGAATCAACGTTTGCTCCGATGGAGTCTTATCTTGTCGGAGTACAATCTGAATATTAACCACATCAAAGGGAGCGACAATGTCATCGCGGATTGTCTTTCCCGCCCATGAACTGCACGGACACAGGAACGCTTGCAAAGAAAGTTTCTCTAACTTTCTTTTCTTTAAGGGGGAGGGTGTTACATGATACCTATCATGTAGTTATAATATATATTCAATAAACTTTAGTATAACCTTAGTTAACCTTACATGCATGAGTAAGGGAATATTTGCGGAGAACCTCATCCCGCAAACCAACAAACGTAAACGACATAGCTTGGTTTGGGGCTAACCATGTTTATTTGCTTATTCACGCTGTATTGCGTAGGGGAAATGTGTCGCAGTTCTATAGTTTCTTCCCCTACCAAACCATATAAAAATCGGAGCACAACTCTCGAAAGCATGCATTATTCATAAGGCGCTAGCCTGAATAGCATCATTGCTTTGAAAATTATTTAAAGAAGTAACGTGGAAAGAACCACAAATCACAAGAACTAAAGAGAACCTTTACAAAAGAAAGAAACGGAGTTGTCAAGATATCGAGAGTTGTGCTCAGTCAGATAAGTCGAACTGTTATAAAGTAATATTATATATATCAAAAGACGTTATTAATTGTTTAACTATAAATATAGCATCAAAGAATAAATCATTGGAAAGTAATCGGTTTCACGATCTTTGTTGCGAGCGAATTGAGCCAAAAGCGCAGCCATTATAATAGTTAAAAGGACCGGCTCGTAACAGGTAGCAAAAGCTATTCCTCTTAAAAGCACCGTTTCAATGTCTTAAACTTTTTCATTATAAGTTTTTGATGTGAAATAGATTTGCTAAATTAAATTTGGTTTCAGCAAATCTTTTCACACAAAAAAAAAACAGTTTTACGAAACAGATTGTGATTTAATTATCGACTTTTAAACTTCGTAATAGACTAGAGAATTTCCGAAAAAAATTCGGAATATTTGTATGGAACGTTTGCTAATCCGGCTGTTAGAGGGCACCATTAGAGCCATATTCAAATTTTTTTTTGTATACAACAGGTATTGCAGAGATATGCCAGCGAAGGGATGGTGGAGGTCGTACAAAACTGGGGGGAAGGTTTACCCAAAGACATCACACATTACTTCGGGCAGACATTGAGCATTAACGAATGCGCGTATCGAAATTTGTACAGGGTGAAGTACTTGGTCTACACAGACTTGGACGAATTCATCGTTCCAAAGATATCGTTAGGATGGAAGGACATGATGAAAACTATTGAGAGTGTTAGAGATGGAACATACTTGTTCAGACATGCATACTTCTTTGAAAACTTAAACGCAACAAGTACAGTTAAAACTTCCTTCCCTTGTTCTGGGTCACGGAACGTGAAACTACCCAGCTTCTTATCACGCGTGACAAGATCGCGAGAGATCCACCCGCCAGAGGTAAGGTCAAAATACATGATCAAGCCGTCGTACGCGACAGCGGTTGGGGTCCACGAGGTTTTCAAGCACGTCACATATTATGTCAGGACCTACGTTGTACCACCTGAATTTGCTTTACTTCATCACTGTCGTAGGTTTGAGGAAGGGATTTCTCCTATGACCGATGTGAATCATCAGCTTGTCCCAGATGCACGCGCACTGGTCTTCAAAACGAGGATTGTGGCCGGATTAAGAAAACGCTTGTGCTTTACTTGAAGTAAAATTGATGAAAATTGACCGCATTGAGATAGATATGGAAATGCTTTAGGGTAAATTTGACCTCTAGTCTCTTGACATGCGCAGTGTATGAAGTGCTCGATCGCGTGTTTACATTGCGTGGAAGGACTTGGTTCTAGCTAGAAACTTGCAACTTGGTTCAATCGTTATAACGGCTAGATACGAGGCAAGTGTTGGCTCTGGTCGTCTTGGCCACTAATGGTCACTTTAGGCGATGACTTGAGGAAAAAACTTTAAAGTTTGGATGGACGATATGAATTGAATTCTGCGATACTGTACGATGTTATAACTTAAGATTTGAAAATTTTCCTAAGATTTTTGCAAACACTGATCGTTGTAGAAGTTTTATTACCTTTAAATATTATTAGTTAGTTGTTATATATTGTATTAATTGTAGTTATTTATACCGTGTAATTCAGTTTTTACTGCCAAACGGATTATTAAACCAATTATTATTATTATTATTATTATGTTACACTGATAAAAGTAAAAGAGGGTGACTTTTTATCACTTTTTATCACAATCAACTCATCAATGATCTACATCATAAACTATCATCCCTCCTGCCAGACCGTCACTCTGCGAATTACGACCTGAGGAAAACCCCCAGTTTCATCTTCCAAAGATAAAAACAGATAGATTTTTAAATAATTTTATACCGGCGAGCACTGATGAATTTTCTTAGATCCTCAATTTTATTACTTTATAACCATATAATACTGTACAATACGTTTCTAAATATTCAGTGGCGTAGCCAGCCTGACGATTTTGTCCGCTATGCTAATTTCGTGTTATTATAATTATTCATTGTTTTCACAGTCAATAAACACCAAAATATTAGCATAGCGAGACAAATCGTCAGGCTGGCTACGCCACTGTAAATATTTAGCGTATATTCTTTGCCAACCTTAAATTTTATAAATTTCAACTTTGAATGTTTTACTCTGTAAATCATATCTCTATTGAATTCCTGTAAAACAGCACGCAATTCAGTCTTAATAGACTGCAAAGTGCTATCTGGGAATCTTTGTATAAAAAAAATGTATTCGTACGGCTAGGTTGGGTCGGCTCAGTGATGCATGCATGACATGATTGTAAACACGGTTTGCTGGGAACACCAGTAAACATGTTGCATGGCTTTGGCTCCAAATGTAAACAAAGCCTTCTGAAGATGTTCAAAATGCACCTGTTGCAAAACATTGGCAGAATAGGATGGGCATTTCATCAGCTGCTTCGCATAGGAAACTTTATTCTCCAGCCCACACAGGACCTTCACTACCCTTCGTTTTTAAGGTAATATACAGTCGGTTGAATCTGATCACCGCTCGCTGATTTTAAAATTATGATGATCCTGCAATTTACCTGCGTTAAGACATACTTATCATGATTGCAACACATCGCTGTAAAGCTTTTTTAGTACTCTTGGCTGTTATCCTCGGTAGTTTCGCCATTTCAAACTTAATGGATGCTTTCTTACACAAGACACTTGGTACGGTCAACTCGTGTCTTGATAGCTTCCAGTATACAAGGTTCAACGAGTCTGGTTTAATAGACACAAGCAGTCGATGGAGACGGCTTGGTTTGGCTACACACGTCTTCACGGCCTATCTGGACGATCGCGAGCCGTGCGCGCCAGTAATTACAGTTATGGGCTTTGGTGAGAAGTCCGAGCCAGCACTCCATGGAACATTACTGCTTCACAGCGGCGCAAGGGTAGAACTCGGGGAGTGTAAGGAGAAAAGGAAGTTGAACCCCACCGGGGATTATACCATAGGGAAGCTTGGACCCTACGCCTATTTGTGGCCGTTACCAGACCACGTTACTACTGCAAATCACGTGAGTGCCATCACGGTTGAGCAAACTCATCTTATCACAGGTAATTGAGTTCTTGATTGTGAAATTATGGACAAACAAACACGAAGATGACGCCGTTTTTTCTAATGTCTTGCAATAGGAAAAACAAAAGCTGCGGTTTCCATAACAAAGCCAGTCTACTCAACGAAAACCTTTGGGGTTTGCATCAACTCGCCCTTATTTGGACAGATAGAGCCACGGACCATCATTGAAAACATTGAAAAACAAAGTTCTTGGCGCAGAATGGTTTACCTTTTACATCTACTCCGCTGACAAAAACGTGCTACAGGTATTTCCATCTGAACTTTGCGTATTCTCTAAACCCGAAGAGATTCTAAGGTACCCAATGCTTTTAAGTCGCCCGTGGCTTGCTTTAGCTGCATCCTGTATAAGGTTAACGCACATTCATGATGCATGGTGATTCATGACAGCTAAAGACGTATCAGATCAAGGTGTCCCTCCGTTTACCCTCCACCCGGCCCCCGCTTCCTCTCTCCCCCCTTTCCAAAGTGCCTAACATCCCTGCGACTTGCGTGCACTTTAATTCCGTGCTTCCACTTTACTGTAGACGCTCCACGAATATGTCAGAGAGGGAACTGTCGAGGTCGTGTTGAACTGGGGGAAAGGTTTGCCCGGAGCTTCCACTCATTACTTCGGCCAGACATTGAGCATTAACGAATGCATGTATCGAAATCTGTACAGGGTGAAGTACTTGGTGTACGCAGATTTAGACGAATTCATTGTCCCAAGGAAATCGCTAGGATGGGGAACTTTGATGAAGGAGTTGGAGAATCCGCAATTTGGCACTTTCGTCTTTAGACATGCCTTCTTCTTCGCGAGCTATAATGAAACAGCATTCGACGCAAACGCCATTGATGTTCACGTCCTTTGCGATGGATCGCGGTTCGTCGAATTACCGCAATTCCTGACGCACGTTGTACGTTCACAAAAGGTCTATCCTTCTAGGCAAAAGTCTAAGTTCATTACCAAGCCTCTATATTCGTCTGTCGTCGGCGTTCACGAGATTTTCAAGCATGTCGAAGAACATATAACGAGCCATGTAGTGCCAACAGATTGTGCTTTGCTTCACCATTACCGCAAGTTTCGAGGGGGACTTCATCCGGTCTCGAAATCCGTCATCCAAGATGTGAAACGACATCAGCGTGTCCAAGATGAGCGCGCGTTAGTTTACAAAGACAAGATTGTAGCAGCATTGAGAAGACGATTATGTCGATTGTATGCCTTTGAAACAGACGCTCAAACGTGGCACAACGCTCCCGTAAGCTTAACATAGATATAACAAAGATATAAATAATTAAAATGAATTTTACCTATAATATTATATCTTGAAAATTCGAACGTTAATGTCTGCCTTACACCTGCCATACAAATAAAAAAATATAGCAAATTTTACAGAGGAAAAAACCCAGCAAAGTTTTCAGAGAAATACGCTGGCTTCGAGGTTGCGAAATATCAATTTTGTTTGTTGTCGTCCTTTGGCCCCGCGCGGACTCAAAAATCGCATAGAAGGCTTGGTCGCATTGCGCGAGAAAGGTTAATTAGACGCATCAAATTTCTTCCCAGACAAACAATGTAAACAGGTGCGCTTCACATGTTTTGAGGCCAAACATGATTGCCGGGCATCGCTGTAAAGCTTTTTTAGTACTCTTGGCTGTTATCCTCGGTAGTTTCGCTATTTCAAACTTAATGGGTGCTTTCTTACACAAGACTATTGGTACGGTCGACTCGTGTTTTGATAGCTTCCAGTATACAAGGTTCAACGAGTCTGGTTTAATAGACACAAGCAGTCGATGGAGACAACTTGGTTTGGCTACACACGTCTTCACGGCCTATCTGGACGATCGCGAGCCGTGCGCGCCAGTAATTACGGTTATTGGCTTTGGTGAGAAGTCCGAGCCAGCACTCCATGGAACATTACTGCTTCACAGCGGCGCAAGGGTAGAACTCGGGGAGTGTAAGGAGAAAAGGAAGTTGAACCCCACCGGGGATTATACCATAGGGAAACTTGGACCCTACGCCTATTTGTGGCCGTTACCAGACCACGTTACTACTGCAAATCACGTGAGTGCCATCACGGTTGAGCAAACTCATCTTATCACAGGTAATTGAGTTCTTGATTGTGAAATTATGGACAAACAAACGCGAAGATGACGCCGTTTTTTCTAATGTCTTGCAATAGGAAAAACAAAAGCTGCGGTTTCCATAACAAAGCCAGTCTACTCAACGAAAACCTTTGGGGTTTGCATCAACTCGCCCTTATTTGGACAGATAGAGCCACGGACCATCATTGAAAACATTGAAATCAACAAAGTTCTTGGCGCAGAATGGTTTACCTTTTACATCTACTCCGCTGACAAAAACGTGCTACAGGTATTTCCATCTGAACTTTGCGTATTCTCTAAACCCGAAGAGATTCTAAGGTACCCAATGCTTTTAAGTCGCCCGTGGCTTGCTTTAGCTGCATCCTGTATAAGGTTAACGCACATTCATGATGCATGGTGATTCATGACAGCTAAAGACGTATCAGATCAAGGTGTCCCTCCGTTTACCCTCCACCCGGCCCCCGCTTCCTCTCTCCCCCCTTTCCAAAGTGCCTAACATCCCTGCGACTTGCGTGCACTTTAATTCCGTGCTTCCACTTTACTGTAGACGCTCCACGAATATGTCAGAGAGGGAACTGTCGAGGTCGTGTTGAACTGGGGGAAAGGTTTGCCCGGAGCTTCCACTCATTACTTCGGCCAGACATTGAGCATTAACGAATGCATGTATCGAAATCTGTACAGGGTGAAGTACTTGGTGTACGCAGATTTAGACGAATTCATTGTCCCAAGGAAATCGCTAGGATGGGGAACTTTGATGAAGGAGTTGGAGAATCCGCAATTTGGCACTTTCGTCTTTAGACATGCCTTCTTCTTCGCGAGCTATAATGAAACAGCATTCGACGCAAACGCCATTGATGTTCACGTCCTTTGCGATGGATCGCGGTTCGTCGAATTACCGCAATTCCTGACGCACGTTGTACGTTCACAAAAGGTCTATCCTTCTAGGCAAAAGTCTAAGTTCATTACCAAGCCTCTATATTCGTCTGTCGTCGGCGTTCACGAGATTTTCAAGCATGTCGAAGAACATATAACGAGCCATGTAGTGCCAACAGATTGTGCTTTGCTTCACCATTACCGCAAGTTTCGAGGGGGACTTCATCCGGTCTCGAAATCCGTCATCCAAGATGTGAAACGACATCAGCGTGTCCAAGATGAGCGCGCGTTAGTTTACAAAGACAAGATTGTAGCAGCATTGAGAAGACGATTATGTCGATTGTATGCCTTTGAAACAGACGCTCAAACGTGGCACAACGCTCCCGTAAGCTTAACATAGATATAACAAAGATATAAATAATTAAAATGAATTTTACCTATAATATTATATCTTGAAAATTCGAACGTTAATGTCTGCCTTACACCTGCCATACAAATAAAAAAATATAGCAAATTTTACAGAGGAAAAAACCCAGCAAAGTTTTCAGAGAAATACGCTGGCTTCGAGGTTGCGAAATATCAATTTTGTTTGTTGTCGTCCTTTGGCCCCGCGCGGACTCAAAAATCGCATAGAAGGCTTGGTCGCATTGCGCGAGAAAGGTTAATTAGACGCATCAAATTTCTTCCCAGACAAACAATGTAAACAGGTGCGCTTCACATGTTTTGAGGCCAAACATGATTGCCGGGCATCGCTGTAAAGCTTTTTTAGTACTCTTGGCTGTTATCCTCGGTAGTTTCGCTATTTCAAACTTAATGGGTGCTTTCTTACACAAGACTATTGGTACGGTCGACTCGTGTTTTGATAGCTTCCAGTATACAAGGTTCAACGAGTCTGGTTTAATAGACACAAGCAGTCGATGGAGACAACTTGGTTTGGCTACACACGTCTTCACGGCCTATCTGGACGATCGCGAGCCGTGCGCGCCAGTAATTACGGTTATTGGCTTTGGTGAGAAGTCCGAGCCAGCACTCCATGGAACATTACTGCTTCACAGCGGCGCAAGGGTAGAACTCGGGGAGTGTAAGGAGAAAAGGAAGTTGAACCCCACCGGGGATTATACCATAGGGAAACTTGGACCCTACGCCTATTTGTGGCCGTTACCAGACCACGTTACTACTGCAAATCACGTGAGTGCCATCACGGTTGAGCAAACTCATCTTATCACAGGTAATTGAGTTCTTGATTGTGAAATTATGGACAAACAAACGCGAAGATGACGCCGTTTTTTCTAATGTCTTGCAATAGGAAAAACAAAAGCTGCGGTTTCCATAACAAAGCCAGTCTACTCGACGAAAACCTTTGGGGTTTGCATCAACTCGCCCTTATTTGGACAGATAGAGCCACGGACCATCATTGAAAACATTGAAATCAACAAAGTTTTTGGCGCAGAATGGTTTACCTTTTACATCTACTCCGCTGACAAAAACGTGCTACAGGTATTTCCATCTGAACTTTGCGTATTCTCTAAACCCGAAGAGATTCTAAGGTACCCAATGCTTTTAAGTCGCCCGTGGCTTGCTTTAGCTGCATCCTGTATAAGGTTAACGCACATTCATGATGCATGGTGATTCATGACAGCTAAAGACGTATCAGATCAAGGTGTCCCTCCGTTTACCCTCCACCCGGCCCCCGCTTCCTCTCTCCCCCCTTTCCAAAGTGCCTAACATCCCTGCGACTTGCGTGCACTCTAATTCCGTGCTTCCACTTTACTGTAGATGCTCCACGAATACGTCAGAGAGGGAACTGTCGAGGTCGTGTTGAACTGGGGGAAAGGTTTGCCCGGAGCTTCCACTCATTACTTCGGCCAGACATTGAGCATTAACGAATGCGCGTATCGAAATCTGTACAGGGTGAAGTACTTGGTGTATGCAGATTTAGACGAATTCATTGTCCCAAGGAAATCGCTAGGATGGGGTACTTTGATGAAAGATTTGGAGAATCCGCAATTTGGCACTTTCGTCTTTAGGCATGCCTTCTTCTTCGCGAACTATAATGAAACAGCATTCGACGCAAACGCCATTGATGCTCACGTCCTTTGCGATGGATCGCGGTTCGCGGAATTACCACAATTCCTGACGCACGTTGTACGTTCACAAAAGGTCTATCCTTCTAAGCAAAAGTCTAAGTTTATTACCAAACCTCTATATTCGTCTGTCATCGGCGTTCACGAGATGTTCAAGCATGTTGAAGAACATATAACGAGCCATGTTGTGCCAACAGATTGTGCTTTGCTTCACCATTACCGCAAGTTTCGAGGGGGGCTTCATCCGGTCTCGAAATCCGTCATCCAAGATGTGAAACGACATCAGCGTGTCCAAGATGAGCGCGCGTTAGTTTTTAAAGACAAGATTGTAGCAGCATTGAGAAGACGATTATGTCGATTGTATGCCTTTGAAACAGACGCTCAAACGTGACACAATGCTCCCGTAAGCTTAGCATAGATATAACAAAGATATAAGTAATTTAGAGGAATTCTACCTATAATATTATATCTTGAAAATTCGAACGTTAATGTCTGCCTTACACCTGCCATACAAATAAAAAAATATAGGAAATTTACACAGGAAAAAACCCAGCAAAGTTTTCAGAGAAATACGCTGGCTTCGAGGTTGCGAAATATCAATTTTGTTTGTTGTCGTCCTTTGGCCCCGCGCGGACTCAAAAATCGCACAGAAGGCTTGGTCGCACTGCGCAGAAAGGCTAATTGAACGTATCAAATTTCGGCCCAGACCAACAATGTAAACAGATTCGCTTCACTGGTTTTGAGGCTAAACAGACGTTGTTTTTTAAATCTCACTGCTGTGCGGGTGCCACAGATCCTTTAGTATTTATTTCCTCGACTTTCCGATGTTTTTTGACGTTGTACGAGTCAGAAAATAACGAGGATAAAAAGCGAAATATCACGTGAGTCGAGTCGAATTTAGTAGTACTAATGGCAGAACACTATGTCACAATCGATGACCTTTTCTTGCCTGTTTTATTTCTTGTGTTTATCTCGGGTCTGACCAGCGTGTTTGCGGCGAATTACTACTTAAAACCATCGAAAACTACCGCCGCAAAATGGAGTATATGGTGTTTATATCTTCTATCGTCAGTGTCCTTTCTTGGACAGTTAAGAAAAACTTGGATGAGGGATTTCCTACATCAGTTTGAATTGGTGACAGAACCTGTGCTTTGGCAAAGACGGTTGGCCGACTTTATATTAGTAAGAAGTAGCTTACACATTATAACTAAACCCATAGTCCATAAAACTCAATAAACATTGGAACGCTAACTACATCAAAACGCCATATTATAAAAAGTGTAGCCAAGTTGGCGCCAGCCATTATTATGTTGTTGTTTTTTTACCGAACTGCAAATTGCATTTGGTCGGCTATCAGTAAACGAACTGTTAGTTTAGATTATAATATCATTGTTTCACATGGAAATATAAAATAGGCGGAGGAATACCTTGAGCCTTGACAGCTTAGAATAAATGTCGCAGCTAATCTATATATGCAGTATATTATTATACTTTGCAATTATGCGTTTTTTGTGTTGTGTTTTTTTCCATCTTGCTATAAGAGTTCGTGCTATAGCATGAATCTTTCGCACACCGAGTTTTGAGTTGATAAAAGTATTTTTCAGCTGTTCAAGTGTGAGGGTTGAGCGTTGAGTACTAAGTGTATATACCGAGCTTTTGCAGCAGTTATTCAGTTTACCAATTGATGCCGGATAAGAAAGCCTTTTCACAAACCTACTGGCTAGCTGACCATTTATTGACGTGCACGGGCGAAAATATCAGTGGCGTAGCCAGCCCGACAACTTAGTCATGCTATGCTAATATTTTGGCGTTCATCGACTGTGAAAACAATGAATTTCTAAAGAAATGAATAATGATAATAACATAAAATTTGCATAGCCTTAATAAATCGTCAGGCTGGCTACGCCACTGGAATATATTTAGCCTCCTTAGCCTCTTTTTACTGATGCAAATCCTTTAGTTAAAATTTGCTTAAGTCTTCCACTTTGAAGATTGAAATATTCCGTTTCTTTATAGGCACACAAGCTGACACTCGATACGACTGAAAATTATTGGATAACTTCACAATTGCTGCTGTTTACCCTCTCGTTCGTCGTGTTTATCAACATGTACAGCAAAGATATGGATCTGAAATTACACCACATCTTTGGTTACATAGCGCTTGGACTTACCAGTTCTTTTGGTGGTGTTTTGGCATTGGTCCTAGTACATTTCTGCCAGGCAACTTCAGCGACCCCATTTGTAGCTAAAGTTACTACGGGTCGATTTTATTTACAAGTACTTTCAACCGTTCTTGGTTGTGCCATTGTTGTATACCTTTACAATGCATCATTAGTTCAAGTGAACACAATCATGGTGCTATTTTTGGCTACAACATTTCTTCTACCTTTTGCAAACTTTTCAATTCAAGGGATCAAACCCATTTACACTACAAGTACTTCAATTTTTTTCTTCCTTATTTTTCTTGGTGCTTTCATCACCCTCCATCATATCATTGCAACATTTATGGTGGCACATGAATGGTTAAACTTCAAGATGTTCAGCCTGGTAGCATTTGGTGCCCCATATCAGTTGGCCATTTCTGTTGATCTTATCTGTTGCACAATAATTGTATCAACATTTGTAATACTAGAGCTCTTTGCATTGAAAACTCTGCAGTTGAAATTTAAGAATTCAGGCCGATATGTCTTCAAGCTTTTGCTATTATTTTTCACATGTCCAGTTATTTTAATTTTAACATTTATTATCTCGCCAGGAGCAATGCTATCATTGTTTCTTGCATACAGAGAAAAGGTTGTGCCCTAGTCTTCAGAATTTGCCAAGGCTGCAGGGCAAAATGTCTGAGATTAAATGAATCAAATTGAAATTTATACTTATGCTGAAAAAGTACTCAGGCAATAGATAACACTAGAGTAGTGATAACTAAATGTAGAAAATGCTTGCTTTGTTCAAAACACAAATAAAATTAGAATCACCTTTTTTTTTGTTTGCATATTTTATACAAAAGTATAGTCATAATCATAAAAGATTGCTTGAATTTCTATAATAATATTGTTCTGTTTCACATAGAGAAAAGTGACACAAAACTGTTTCTCCCTGCCCCTTGTCCCTGACTGTATGTGTTCCTTTCCTTATATTTAATTAAATTCATGCATAAAACATGAGTTAATTGCTGTTTCAATAACATGCCTTGTTTAACAAAATATGCTACTAAAATATATACCGCTATCGTTACACAAAAATCAACATAGCCGATATAATCAAACATAACTAGGGTCGGTTGTATAAAAACGTAGTTAACTTTCGACCATAGAATTGAGCTTTAGAACGACAGAAATGACCAATCAGAGTCATTTATTTCTGAGTAAACTACGGTTTAACTACGCAAAATGTAGTTCAGAGGTTTACACAACCATACCGGCCCCTTAACACTACAATAAACACTCAAATTGATTGTTTACATTTTTAATGTATACAAAGGGCAAAATGCTTATTTATAATTCATTAAATTGTTTTGAAAACATTCGGATGGTGTAAACAAATAAACGCCAAAACAAATCAACGAATGGTTGCAATACCTGCTAGGTTTCATTTGATTTTCTGTGTCCTTTTCAATTTGAATTGTCAAATGCCCTTGACCTCTCTTTAATACTCTTCGTTCAATATCGTGCGTGATAATTGTCATTTTCGATTTGAAATTGATACTCTACTGCGTCATTATAAATTGAACTAAAAATAGTTTGGTTTAATAACTTCCGCATATTTACTTCCGTAATACAAGCTTGCATGCTTAATACATGCACAACACTTCAAAAGCGCAAACATTAGAATTTCATATAGCCTTTGGCATAGAGCTTGTACTTCTTCTTCTAACATGAACAAGCGATACTCAATAATAGTGTCGTTATCTGTGGTTGGCATTCTTTTTATCATTTTTCAAATCAGCAACTTAAAGAGTTATTGGTCAGGTTTTTTGCCAACGGAAAGCATCCTCAATGACACTATTGCGGGTACTTCATATCACACGGAAAACTCTACGATTTTAATATTATATTGGAGTTCGGTTTTCGGACGTAAGGTGAATGTAACCGGCATCGATGGGAAATACAAATTCCCTTTTTTCGCCGTGAGCGACAAATGCCCGGTTAAATGCGAGCTAACTAGCAACAAAAGTCGTATAGCAGAGGCTTCGGCTATTGTGATACACGGACGTGACGCGGAAGAAATGCCTCCTGCGTCAAGCAGACACAACACTGTTCCTTGGATATTTCACGCGAACGAGAACCCCGTTTTTACGAAAGCACTTCGCAATGGCGACATTATGCAGAAGTTCTCGTACTCTGCCTCGTATCGGCTGGATTCCGATTTCCCTTGCCCGCAATTCTATAAACCGAAATTGACCAGACCCGTTGCATTTGCAAAGAAAACTGGCTTGAGTGTCGCCGTTTACAGTCATTGTGAGAAAACCAGAACTTTGTATCTACACCGTTTGATGAAGCACATGCCAATTGACTTCTACGGAAAATGTATGCGAACGATGCCCGTGCTTCCTAGAACCAAAGATAATCACGGTTTTCTAGTAGGAATCATGTCCAAATATAAGTTTGCCTTCGTTTTTCCAAACGCCGATTGCGACTATTACATGACCGAGAAAATATACATCGCCTTGTCCTCAGGTGCCGTTCCCGTCTGGATGGGAACGGATACAATCGACGAGGTCTTGAAATGGGGGAACCTGAAAACATCTGTGATCAAGGTTAGGGACTTCAAGTCGCCTCGACAACTGGCGAAACACCTTTTGTGGCTTTCGCGGAACGAAGCCGAGTACAACAAATTCCTGAAATGGAAGTACGAAGGCTTCAATTTCCCGAGGGAGTATTACGAGTCGCGGATCGCGGAGTGGTGGGAAGGTAGCCCGCTGTTTTGTCAAGTGTGCATGAGACTAGCGCAGACCAATCGTTCGGTTTGGAGAAGGTTAGATGTTGACAACTGCGACGGGAGGCAAAGGCGGACTCTGGAGAAGTGGATACGAGAATAGTACAGCACCATCTTCAAAGCCATATATAGACCATTCCCCTTTTATCTTTCAAGCGCGCAATGCGTGACGGTCGTTGATTTCAAAGGTCAATTTGACTTGTGATTTCGTCCCGTTCAGGAGCGAACCTACAGGAACTGAAACGAGCCTACAGGAATTGAAAGTCAAAGATGGCAATGCGATACTCAAATTTTTTTTATTTTCATGACAAAATCTTTCTGATAGAACGTATAAAATATTTTATGTTTTTGCAAACGAAAGAACGTCGTCATTAATATGAGTAGAACATTTGAAATGTACAACTGTATTGCTAAAGCAATATGTCATAATTATGTAACCGAGTCACCGACAGTCGGCGATGTATTGTTTGTGGCCGGTCACGAAGAACATTTTTTCAAAATAACAAAACACTTTATTCACGAATGATCTCCGACAATAGCCATTGCCGACCGTCGGTAGCATATGAGAACGAGCTGCCTTACAACCTTTAATAAATCATCATAAACAATAGCAAAATCTCCTAAGCATTGGCTGTGTAGTTCTTATACAGCGAGCTGCATTTCCGTACTCGTTTATTCGGCTTATTTCAGGATTCACACGAGGCTCACCGCTGATCATTTGTACTGTTGCTTCGTATATGCCATCGTTTGGCGAAGTCTCAATCTGAAGTTGGTACATACACCCACCTAAAAATTGTGAAAATTAACTTCGGAATACAGGCTCTCTGGTGGACAAAAGATAAAACCTACCATAATTAGGGGATAAAAAAGCTTTATTCGAATATATTATCCTGAAATTACTTAACTCTATACACAGAAAAAATGCCACACACCTTTTAGAACCCTGAAATTGACTTTTTCCTCGTATCCCCCCTTGTCGAAGTCACAATTATAGAAGATTTGATCCTCTGCAATTTCAACTTTGCACATTTCTCTGCGAGTCCATTCTGCCTCAGCATATCATTTATTGCGGCGACGACAGCGAGCCCGCTTTTTACAACATGTTTGTGGTCTGTGCTAACCGGGTCCCAGTCCAGACACGGGCAATAATGAAAAGGTATCCCAGCCTTTTCGCAGGTTCTCCACCCGATGTTTGTCAGAAGACTCCTTCCGTGAGGTAAACCTTGTGGCTCGTTCGGATACGTCAAAAAATGCATTAGGGTCGCATGAAGGTCAAAATGTGACGTAAGCACTTCAGCGTTTCTTCGTAAGTTCGCATAGAGTTCTGGATAAGAGGCCTGGAACCAAGGCGGGAAAGTCATAGACAGAAAAGGTAATCTCTCTTCCATCCGACCAAGAATACTGGAACGAACAAAACCGTACCGAAGTCCGTGATCTCCAAATAATATTAAAAGAGTATTATTAAGATAATTCTTATCTTTCATGACTTTTAGAAAATTTAAGAGCTTATCTTCGACCAGCGAAATAAAATTGAACGATTCATGATGGCAAAAATCGGCATTGAATTGAAACCCGAACTTCGGCGTGTTGGGGTATGCGTCAAAAAAGCTTTGAACAGCGTTGAAGCTAACGTTGTATATCGCTTGAGAGCCCAGGCAGTGACCCTTAATGTACGTGCCTAATTCAGCAACCTTCCTGTATAATGTTGTCATTTTGTTAAGAGCAGCATACCACAATGGAAGCAGATAATGGTCAATTGGTGGTTTACAGAAGCCTTGTAGGCGATGTGTGATTGCGCCATTGTAAACTTCGTCCTCGCTGTAATATGTGACGTAACCATGAGCCCGCATGTCTTTGAAAATCAATGGCCAGCTGTCAATACATGACCCATCTAGCCTCCTAAAGGGGAGGCGTGAAAACGTTGTAATGAATTGTGTATATATACAAATTCCATAAATGGGTATTCTCAACCCCAGTGAGCTAGGATTGTGGACAAATGACAAACTAGACTGTCTTACCCGACCCTAGCTTCTTGTAGTTCATCTAGCAGGCGACCAGTGATCATTCCTACAACATTCTCAGTTGTACCATCACCAACAATTGAATGTCCGTTGAATACAACGGATTTTAGGTCATCCTTTAAATACTTGTACACTGGTCCCAGTTTCCTTTGAAAATGCGCGTGGGACGTGGAATCTAGGCCTACCATCATTACGTTCAGCGGTATTCCTGGTTTAGTTTTTGCAACACGCTCTACGTACTCCTTACGTGATTGCACATCAAGGTGAAACTCTCTTTGCTCATCACCATCGACGGTTTGTACCTCAAGGTACACCATGTCTTCGTTCAGCTGGGCTTCGGGATCCGACGGCGTCAACGTGCCCGTTCGGGAAACGTCGTAACCTTGCCCTGTATTGCTTTTTCTTTTCAGAATTTGATAGTTAACTTTCTTCACATTCTTACCTGTGTATGAAAGAAGAATTGCATTACAAACCATTACAAACATACATCTTTACAAGCTATAGTTAGTGTATTCCTAATTTCAAAGTATGTTTACCAACAACCGTCTTTTGAGCAACACTAAACAATTCATGTGTTTTTTTACTGTACGACTTATCCGTTTTTTTTAAGTTCCTTACATACCGGGAGTTATCCTCAAAATGCCATTTTGATAAGAAGTTAGGTTTTTCTTTCCTTTACAAACCAAAGGTGGAACATTTTCAATCATTTTCATCACAGTTGGATCAAATGGGTCAATGTTGGGAAGATTACATATTTCGTTCTTTTTATTAATTTTGCCAGACTTTGTTTGGCTTTTCTAAAAAGTTTCACACATGGGGTTAAATGAATCTACACATGTTCATATACCGAGTAAAATCAATGCAAAACTACACAGTTCTTGTCTTCACCACGTACTATTGTTCTTATTTACAAAAGCATTGGGTTATCAAAAGTTACAGACTTAGGCCTGTTTCAGACGTCGAACATTTTATGCGCCGAATCGAATGAACTTAAACAAAGACTTCAGTTCATTGACACAATAGGATCGGCACATGAAACATTCGACGTCTGAAACGGTCTTAGAATTGATAAGACTGTTGTTGTTATAGTGATATCCAATTTTTGTTATGATGGTACCCAAAACAGTGGCATAGGCAGCCCGACGATTTTTTCCCGCTATGTAAATGTTGAGCTATTATACATAGTGTATTCTTAATTTCAAAGTATGTTTGCCAACAACCGTCTTTTGAGCAACACTAAACACTTCGTTTGTTTTTTTACTGTACGACTTATCCGTCATTCTTGTTTAAGTTCCTTGCATACCGGGAGTTATCCTCAAAATCCCATTTTGATAAGAAGTCAGGTTTTTCTTCCAAACCCCAAAACCCCACTCAAACCCCCAAATCCCAAAATTTGATAACCTGTAAACGCATCAAACTGTAACTCCTTTGGTTTGTCAAAGAACTGAAGATCTGATCTTGGCTACAGACAGAAATCTTTGCAATAACGTATTGACATAGTGTTATATCATATTAAATCTGAGACCAATTACCCTTTAGTCTATCCTACCTAAAGTTTCTTATAATTTTTTCTTATTTGCCATTCAATAAAAAAGAAGTACTCACCAAACTAGGAGCACAGCTTTCTTCCTCAAATTCCAGGATATCTCGATGCTCACTCTTCAGTACAGTGATAACACCGAGGGAAAATTTCGGTTTACTCAACACCCCTGTCTTCAAAGTGACGGTATTTGGGCCAAGATTGTACGTGAACCCTTTGCACCTTTCACCGAGATGAAGACAAATTTTCATCCCATTGTTTTCGCTCATCGAGAACGTACACGTCGCGTTTGAGATGGAACTTTTACAATTGAAATCCCCCCGACCCCCCGACACCATAGCAACCTGCAAAAGGATGGATTAATGATTAATCTAGGTTTCCTTCGAGTCGTAATTGTCGTGAGCAAGTCATTTCAACAGATGAGAAATAGTCCTGACGTAGATTTGTCTTTATTTCTGTATTCACATCGGTCATTGTTGACTGTACACACTTAGAAATATATTCAATCACATCAGCCACCTTGACATGTTCACAACACTCCTCAATCCTCATGCACGACCAAATGAAAACCAGGCATCATGCCGAAGAATGTCAAACATTTATTTATCCACATGTGGGTCCCAACAGGGGTGCTTTGGCATTAAAACTCCAGCTATTACTTTGTTATGGGTGATTTTAATGGTTTTGGGTTTTTTTGGGACACCCTGTGTTTTGGAATTGAAAGACAATTATCATTCCGTAGAGAATATCCTGTAATGTGTCTGAGGAGAACAAGACAATGAGTTGTTTCGTGACTGACATCTATGGTGACAAACGACACACTATCCAGACGAACTGTGTAGACGAATATGTCAAACGAAACAGAATCGCGCGTTTTTAAAGTGCATGGGAATTGTGAAATTATTTATGTGGTAAAAAGGGTGCATATACAAGAGCCGTTTTATGATGGATTTTTCGTGCTTCGTCCCCATCTCGTATTTATACTAGCAGACGAATGATACGTCAAGACGAACTACCATTCAAATTTGTCTAAATCGAGGGAGTATGCAGATAATTTGTGTTGACTAATGAACCGTCTGCTTGGTCGTGTTTACACACAGACGGACTAGAAGACGAACTATCTTTCGCTTGCCCAAGTTCGTCTAGACGGATGATCCGCCTCTAGTATAAACCAGGCCAAATCCGTCTCTAATATAAACTCAAACAACCGACCTTTGATTTGCTAGCATAACGTTTCTGTTTAGAGAGCACTGGACCATCAAACAATTAATTTGCTTTAGTCATGCCCAAATTCGCCATAAGTATAATATTCGCATAGCATTCGCAAAACTAATCGATATTTTATGTTCATTTAAGGCCAAACATTAAAGCCAATTAAGTTTTAACGTTTTAGTATGTTTTAGTAATAATATAAGAGACGTCCCTTCACAACCAGCGTCGAAATCAAGACGCCGGCATTAAATATATTGTTCTTTCAGTTTCAACAATTCTGTTAGGCACAAACAGAAACATCAGTTTTAATTGATCGTATGTTTAGCATGTACTGTGGAGTTTCCTCACACCTCCCTTCACAAACATGCAGCGTCGAAATCAAGAGGCCGGTATTAAATATATTGTTCTTTCCAGTTTCAACAATCCTGTTAGGCACTAACAGAAACATTTTAATCGATCTTATGTTTAGCGTTTACTGTGCTTCATTCACATGGAGTTTCTGAAACACGTGCAGTTTGAAGCAAATTTTTGGAAGGGGGGGTCATATATAGGCTTTGTTTGAATGAGCCACGGTGAAACTGATGACTCGTCCAAGCCGTGTGCTAATCATCGATTACCTGTTTGTTTTCTTACGTAGTTCATAGTTCATTTCTCTCATTATGGCATATATGAATAATAACTTGAGTGCAATACGAATTCAGATATGTGTTCATTATGAAATACGCCGTAGTTACACATCGGCTGCAGTTGTAAAACAACTATTTTAATTCGGAAAGAACGTTTATCTTACCTTGACGAAATATCTGCCCAGATAATTGTAGTAATAAACTCCAGAACTGAGTAACAACAGAAGAACTAGGACAGCGAAAGTTCCCACGTTGACCTTCTCGGTCGAATGTAAAATATAGCTATACAACTCCATAACTTTCCCAATCTACACATCGCAAATCTTGTCAAACTTTATAAATCTTTATTGGGCTTCAAAATAAGAGACTTTATGGTAAGCAACTTGATATTAGCTCGAGGTGGTCACGTCAAGGGAATTCTCTGCCGAGCAGAGAAGAACAAAGAACTTGTATTTTTATGCAAATATACTATTAATGCATCCCATCCAGGGGCGTGGTGACCGGAGGGCCTTTAGTATAAGTAATGGGGTAAGAATTAACATGAAATTATCACCAGAGTTTAAATTACATGCACATTTGTATACGACGCCCCTGTTTTCATTTGCTGTGCCTACCCAATCAATATTATCTGATATTAAACGCCCATATCTCTAAAAACAGCAACTGGAACACAGAAATAATTATATCGAATTACACACATATTCATTCATAATTTAAAAAAGAATGCCTTGAAATTGTGGTTTAACCAAAATTAGTAATGCATTAAGACCGAACGTCACGGGCTAAATGAAGATCATAGCTTCTTATGCAAACTCTCAAAATTAGGAATAGGATAACCGAATAACTCGTGATCTATTCTATACCGGGAAATTAGTTGATCAAAATACTTCTTCGGAAGTTCGCGTAGTAAATTTTGTACCGCCGCTTTGGTTTTGGTCAGCGGCGGCGCACCGCCTCGCATGTTTATGAGATGATACTTCGTCTCGTCCGCATGTATTTTCCTCATCAGATGTGGCACATCGCGTGCGATCGTGTCCATAGAACCAATGAAATCGTACTTCACGTTGCACGGACGGCAGATATCCTCGTAGGTTATCCAATGTTCGTTTAGTTCCCAAGGTGGGGTGTCAAATAAATACCGCGAAAACTCCGTAAAACTAACATCATGGCCATGTTCTGCCTTCCTAGTGTTATTATAGCGATACTTCTCTATAATCCGTTTTCCCAGATTCGCGTGAAGTTCGACGTTACGGTCGTTTTGCCATTTATTTCTGTACGCCGAAGCAAGCCTTTCCATGGGATCGCGTACGAGCAGAAATTTGTAAAAGTTTTTTAACATGTGCTCCCTCTGTTCCTCCGTAAATTTCTTGTTATCAAGACGCACGATCTCCACATTCATTTCGGCGATTTTCACTTTTTCAACACTTGGGTATAAGCCTTGCATAACCAAAAATATCCTCTTCATATTTGAGCATCCAACCTTTGGTATAAAACAATACAGGACCTTGTGTTTTTCGTTTACAATAATATGATGCAGGACGTTGAATCTCTGAAGAAGCTTCTTTCTATCCCTGCGGTTTGCTGGCGCTTTCAAAACGTTCGTGACGTTCAGGTTTCGACAGACCTTTTCCACCGTTTTTTTTCGTTTTCTGCTGTCGATCTCCGCCTTAAAAAAATGACCATGGTGGGCATGGCGAAATGTTGAAGATTTGCATCGGGAAGGGAGATTTAGTACCGGAGTCACTACGAGTACGACTACTGTCTACGAGTACAAGATTCGTCATCTTCGGGCCTAACTCGGTGCTTTTGCCTACGCCATCTGACGAAACTCGTGGTCGTCGATCTTTTGAATACGAAATTTATCAACAAACTCCTGCTTAAAAGCTCGACGACTACGAGTTTTGCTGATGGCGTAAGCAAACACCAGTTACACCACACGGGAACCGTAGTCAATTCTAAAGCTCTCTATAATAGATACAAGCCTAGAACTGGATGGCGCATAACTACGTGGCGTAATTTTTTTAGTGCACGTCGCGAGATTCATACCTGTTCGTCCTCGGAGCTTTTTATCGTTGTACGAGGCATTGCTTCTTTTAAAACCTCTGGTTTCGGCCTTTCAACACTCTTGGTAACAGCTGGACCAGTAATATGAAATCCAAGCTCACTAGATGTTTTTCCTATCTGTGAATTGATTGCTTTTGACTTCTCCTGGATCTTATATACGTGGTCATCCCCTCTCACTGTTTCCACTACACAAAAAGGAAATATTAAGCACGCCGCACACGAGAGCTATATTAGCTGGGCTAGAGTCTGACCTCGCGAGGCTGTTAGCTCAGCAGGTTTATCTCGTGTGGGGTTAGTTTTCGTGAGGAATTCGAAAGGCAAGTTTCTCACGTGTGCGGATGATTTTCGGGCTGAGGCGCTGAGCTAACTTCCTCGCGAGGTCGTTATTAATATATAAATTTATTCTAAAGTGCTCATTAATTCTATTTCTGTGCTAAAGCTTTTTATTGGTGAAGCAGACCAAAATAAGTTAATACTGAAGGAAAGATAACAGTGTAACTTTTTATAACCTGGTAGTGATAAGGAACGTATCAATTCTTATTAGGTCCGTTTCACACTTCATTATAACAAACCCAAAGTAGCTATATATACAGATTTAGAAATCACCTTTTATATTGAAGTTTTAAAATTAGCTGGGACATTAGCTGGGATGGAATATCGCCCACATATATTCACTTGTCTCACATTCTTTCGTCTGTGAAACCCATTAGAACATAAATAATCAAAGTAATCGAAAGAAATTGGACAAGGCAAGGCCGCTTCACTATACCGAAAACTAATATACGATAATATACGATATAGATAATTCAATATACGATAAACGCTACTGAATTGTTTTCAAGGTTGAAATCACTTAACATGACACGCTATATCACAGATCAAAAGCCATCATGTTTGACAGAATATTACTAGCACTACAAGTATAAGTTTCCAAGGTTAATAATTAACCTCGTGAGTTCACTTACCAACAACCACCACACGACTGTTCCCATGCCGAGCAAGATGAAACGAGTTATAATAATAAAACTCAAAAGCGACAATGGCCAACATCACCCAGAAAACTGCAAACAGTATTCGTCTGTACATTCGCATTCTCACGTGCCCAAATGAAAACCAATGTAGAAACATGACAGAATGATGCAAACTGCATCGACAAAAATTAACGTGTTGGTCACGAGCGTATTTCGCACGCTATCGAAAATTTACTCATGAAACTTAGTCGCCGGCAATCCAAATGTGTCTAGCGACAGAACCTACGAAGCGTGTCGAATTTTCGTGCACTAATGAAGTCTGAATATAACTACACAGACCAAAGTATACCCGGTAGGAGGTACAATGTTTCAGTGACTGGACAGTTTAAACGTATTGTTGCCAACTGCAACGTTTAGGCATATGTTTATTACCAAATATCTTCTCCTCTGCAGCTCAAAGAAAGCCCTGTACAGACGGGCACGTTTTCCTTGACAAGTTTTATTTGCTCGTGTGTACGCAAAAAAATTCACAACTTTTCCTTGTTGAGGTATTGAAATGAATAAATGACACGATCCTTGTCATCTAGTTTTGTCTTATATAAGGACTTCTTTCAAAACTTCAAAGAAGAAACTATCTTATAGTTTCAGTCAGGGAACCCAAACTATCATAGAAGAAAATATACATTCTAAACCCATATTTCCTTTGTTCTAAATCTCAGTTGTTCTGGAATGGCCAAGAATATCGACAGATCGAAACTCAAATATGTGCGTGTGAATATGTTCTTACAGTTCTTTAATTTATTCGAGGTCCTTTGTATAGACTTCTTCTGACTAGCTGACGGATTCTTTATACACCAACGATCACAATATGACCATTATGACGGTAATAGACGATTCTTTCGCTTTGAAAAACAGCTCCTAAACTCTCAAAATATTGAATTTCTATATTATGACATTCATAAAGTATTTCATATTTGGTTCAAGGGCCTACACCGAAGTTTGTTTACGTGTTTTTTTCTGTATACACGCTGAAGTAAGACTTGCCGCGACATCATTATATATTAACACAGCATGATGCTGCAACGTGTGATTCTGAAGAATGAATATACCTGCGTTTTATTTGTTTTCTTTTATCTGTATAATTACCCCAACAAAAATTTTTATGCAAATACTCAGGCCGAAATTCCTTTACAAGTGAAAGGTCGGTTTGAAAACAAAGATGTCCCTTTGATAAAACTACTTAAAGTTAGGTTTCGTCGCTCTCGATGCCGGGTTTAAGAAACTTATTGATGTTTCTGCGTAGGTCAAACAGGGAGTTTAGACGCTTTATTTCAACATGCTTCTTACTATGGTTAGTGCTCACAGGATTCGTGATATTTTTGACATTTCGAAAGTCGAAACGACCAGGAAAGTTGGATATGTTTACCAACACTCGTTGGACGCTAAGAACGGTCGAAAATCTCAGAAAAGATGCTTGCCTTGATCCCGACAAGTTGAAATGTAAAATCATTCGAGAACAACGCGAGGAAATCGCTTGGAAGAAACGATATTACAGCAAGCGAGCGGCCGGTTTTGATAGCCCTATTGAGGTCGATACGTCAGCAGACGAGAAGAAATGTCCGCATTTATACGGCGTTGCACGAGAGATACTTAACGGTCTCAAGATCAAACTTCCGCACGAGACAAACCGGACGCGATGGAAATTTCGTGCCCGGGTCGATTTGAACAAGCTGAAGCAAACGCATTTGCGATGGAATTATCCTTGGAAGCAAACTAACCCGAAGAAAACAGAGAATCTCTTACGACGGTACAACGTCTCCGCGAGAACGATAAAACGGCGAAAGATCTTGCTAAGTTACGGCCATAATTGCTGCAATGGTTCCAAAGTGAGGCGGTCAATGCTGCAATCAGACACGCGAAGATGGACTATGCGGAGTCATTAGACCTTTCCGCCTTGTCAGTGTCATTCCAGATATCACACAGCGAGCAGTTGCGCCTGCGCAAAGGGGCCGGGTACTGGCTGTGGAAAGCGTACATCATACTTCAAGCTTTACTTTATAAGTTGAACGACGGAGATATGTTGGTGTATCACGACTCCGGCATGTATTTCGTTAACGACATCGGACCCCTGCTTAAGGTTTGCCAAGAGATTAAGCCGAGCATTTTGACGTTTGCTATGCCATACGACGAGCGTTTGTACTCCAAGAGAGACGCCTTCATACTAATGGACATGGACCACCCGATCGTTTCCGCCAAAGGTCAGACACAACGCTTGGCTAATCTCATTGTAGCGATGAAGAATTGCGAGACGATCCAATATTTCATGGAGTACCTGGCATACACAATGGACTTTCGGATTTTCAGCGACCGAAAGAACGTTCTTGGGAAGCCAAATTTTAAAGATTTCGTTGGCAACAGACACGATCAAACTGTTCACTCTTTGCTTTCGAAAAAGTGGGGCATCTTGGAGGTAAGAGATCCCTGTACCTGCGGTAGAGGTAGAATGGATAACAAGGGAGGATACGCCTCGGGTCCGTACACGGGACTTTACGTGCACGACCGAAACCGAAGCTAGTCACGCGAAAATATGATGAACTGTGTGCGATTTGTTGTTGTTGTTTGTCGTTGGCGTATCATCAATGTTCGCCAAGGTATCACATCTGATGTGAACTCTGTCTTTGCTTGTTTATAGGAATAGATTTGTGTCATTTGTATGCATCCATGTCAAGGGGGGGGTGAACGAAGGCTGGATAGCGCTCTCCACCGGTCCGTGAATTTTTCAAGCAGTGCAAAAATGCTTTTTCGATATTGAGCCAAAAATGAATCAGAGAAATTACTTCAAGTGTATGAAGGTTCAATTCGTATTGTACCAAAAAACGGGCAATTCTAGAAAGATTGAAAACACACTATATGGTGGTAGGTGGCGCTATTCGGGCTTCGTACAACCAACCCTTTCTTTTTCTACAAAACATGGTCTGTGTTATTTAAGTATACGTGTGTTTGATACGAACGCAATTCAAACGGTAAACAGTGAGATTTAATGCGGTCAATAACCTCGAGTTTTTTCGAGTCAAATGCGTTTGGGACGACTCAGATTCGACGTACAAAACACGCTACACACTTCTTTATTAACTTACTAACTCAACTTCAAGAAAGGTTAATGCTACTGAATAAAATGAAAATGCCCTCGTTTTCACAGCAGGGTCAACCGTTCTTGATTCTTATTGTTGAACCTTCCTGTAGCATCAATGCAAGGCTACTCCCAACTGTCGTCGATTTTTGAATGATCGTAGAAGTTCTGGCAAACGGACATGGTTTGTCTTCGTCGAACGTTCATCAATACGCCCTGTGTCAGCTTTTTGTACCATTCGCACAAAAGCAAAACTTCCTAAGATGCGGAAACTCGTCTGCTATGCAGTTCGGTTGGCTGCCGTAGACATTAATACGACTAATTCCGACGTTTACTATAAATTTGCCTCGTACAAATCTAACCGTCGCCTCGTAAATACCGTTGCTAGGCGCTGCTACGAATTGCACTTGATAATTACAGGTGTACGCAAGTGGACCACCGTAGTCATCATTGAACCTGGTCTTCCAATCCATGCCCACTTCACGAAATCGTAGAACACGATTGTTGGGCATCTCAAGCATTGCATAGCTGACTTTTTTCAATCTCAATTTTTCGCACAACGTTCTGCTCTTATTTTTCTCCTCGTTGAGACTATTAATAAATTCTAGAGTAGCTAACGCCGAGTTCTTGATGTGGCTGTGCTGCGCGTTTACCCCTGACCACTCCAAACACGGACACCAGTGTTCGGGGATGCTTGCCTCTGCGCATGTGCGAGATTTCGGCACTTCGGTGAAAAGACTTTGACCGTGCTTCAAATCCGATGGGAGGTCTGGGTACGACAACATGTGACGAAACGTCGCGTACACATCAAACCATGATGTCAAACGTTTCGTATTCGTCTTTAAAGTTGCGGCAAGTTTTGGGTAGCGAGACTTGAACCAGGGGGGAAGGTCATCGAGAACAGAGGGAGGCGTTCCTCTAGCTTTCCTTGAACCGTTTGTCTCAACTGCCCATAGCGTAATCCATGATCGCCCATCACAATCAGTAAAGTATTGTTAAGGTAGCCTTTAGACTTTACTTCTCGCAACAGGTTGAGAAAATCTCGCTCGATTTTTTGGACTAGGTTCACTCCGTGATGTCCGTGACCGGCTGAAAATACAGCAAAGCTAGATATGAAATATTTGATACAAAAAATATATTGGACTTTTAGTCGACGTCATGACGTAGTTTGCGAAGAAAGCATGCTTCCGATTGATCAATGCGCTCAGTTGTCTAATCGGAAACATACTTCATCTGCAAACTCGCAGCGCTCTAGGTTCTATGTTGTGAAATATATTTGTATACTTGTAAACCGTTTTTCACTGATCAATTATGTATTCCACTCAAGACTTAATCTGATCGTAATCACTCACCATTAAAGGAAAAAAAGAATTTCAGTTGGTCCGGCAGTCTTTCGAACACACTTTTGATATAATCAAATTGGTACCGCGCAATATTTTTGCTGTTAAGACATAAGTTTGGCCGTCCTTTGTTGAATCTCTTCGCCCGTTCAAAGAAAGGTCTTGAGTATAAATCAGTCGGTTGATTTGTGTATCCCTTGAGACGATAGTGGAATGGTCCGGACTCGATACTGTCCTCAGAGTGGCCTGTTATGTAGCCATGCTCTGAAATTGTTAGATAATTCGATTATAACACTGATTCTAAGAATCAAGGTTACTGCAACTCTTATATATGCTCAGTAGCGCAGCCAGCCTGACGATATGTTGCAGCCAGCCTGACGCTATGCTAATATTTAGTGTTGATTGACTGTGAAAACAATAAAATTTCTAAAGAAATGAATAATTATAGTAACTCGAAATTTACATAGCGGGACAAAATCGCCAAGCTGGCTACGCCACTGAGTATACTGAAGACAATGGCGGCCGTAGAGTTATCCAGTAGAACTGGTAAGTTGGGACCAGTGTTTGGGCATAACGGTTGCGTAACATCATTAAGGCCCTGTTACACTGTGCAATTTTTCTTGCAACTTGCAGTGCAATTCTACTTTTGAGAGATCAATATTTGGGAATAACGAAACTTTTGTGTTTATTACACTTCATGCACTTTTCTTCTGCAAGACTCTTCACTAATTTACATCTCTTAGCAGTACAATTGCATTGCAAGTTGCAAGAAAAACTGCACCGTGTAACAGGGCCTTTAAAATATTATAGAATTAATGAATTCAGAAGAAAATTCACAAGAAAATTCACATCCTTCACCTGTCAACTGTCTATAAATCCAGGTCCAGTCATCAAGAGTGCGAGCCCCTTTAAAACCCGCTCTTCCCTCGTACTGCTCTGTAAACTTCTTTCCAGTCAACATGGGAGTTAATTGTCGTGTCGTTCCATCACCCGTCACCGTGTGACCCTGGAAAATATCCGCGTCGAGCTCTTTCTGCAAAAACTCGTAAATTTTCGGCAGCTTGCGTTTCGCTCCCGCGTGAGAAAGAGAATCGACGCCGATTATGAGAATGTTCGACGGAATCCCGGGCGGTTTTTGCGGGCGTCGGTTCAGCAAACTTTCGCGCGGAACAACTTGGGGAAAAAATTCTTTGGACGTGGTGCCATCTTTCAGTTTGAAATCGACCTCCAGGAATTCGTCTGTGATTGGTTGGTCGTGGCGTAGCGGTTTGACTTTACTCAACTTTACCGCAAAATCACCGTTTCTCGTGATTGAGCGATACGTTGCATTTAAAACGTCATCTATAAAAGATTATCATATGTAGCGATATCTCTATGCCGTGTCTTTCTTATCATTGTACATTTGGAAGGAATTAAAATGATGATGTAAATCACCTGTAAATTTAAATATCCCATTGACCAACTGTCCATGTTCTTTTCCGGGGCATTCTGGGTAAGTCGTTTTCGAGATATACTTCATCATAGATGGATCAAATGGATCGAGAACTGGTAATCGACAGCTCATATTTGATTGTGATATCTTGGAAAATGAATTTTCGATTTTGGGCGCACATTTCATCTATGAAATGAGGTAATTTTTACATTCAGTTTAGCAAGCCGATGTTTATTTTTTGTTGTTTTGTATTGTGTTGACGAAATGTTTTGTATTGTGATGACGTATGATGTAGGCGACTTTGTAAACTTAGATGTAAAGCTTTTTTATTCCTACTCTGAAGCAGAACTTTCAATACACAGCTCGTCGTTCAGGATTAGATGTTAGATGTAAGTTCTTGACACGATCACATAAAATAAAAATACCTCAGAATCAGAAATATTCTTGCTTATCCATTCGTTGGATTCTTCATGAATCTGTTGCGACGATATGGGAAGCTGAAAGTTCATAAAACGCAAATTTACACACATTTCATTTGTAACATATAATTACGCGCCTGCACACATATACCCACTTGCCGAGTAAAAATTCCCGGACACAAATTCTTCCTAATCAGCAGTCCCCCTCCCCACTTCTTGCACTTACGGGCGCATTCATACCCCGAGTTGTTCCCACCAACCCATGTTCCTGCCTTGGAGTTTTTATCTAACCTCGCTTAGCCAATATTAAGCGAAGTGTTAAGTGGCTTCGAGTAGTCTGAAGGGGCTCGGTTAACATGATTCCGTTTAGCTGAGATCAAGCGAAATGCGAAAGCGAAATTTCTTTGAGGTATTGCGACTGTATTCTAAAAGCTCACTTAGGTCTAGGTCAAACATCGCACTTCTAATACAAATGAGCTCAAACAAAGACTTTAATTTATTAGGTTCGGTGTATGAAAAGAACGATGTTTGACCTTGGCGTAATTATACGGAAACTCATTTTAATGAGTTCCAATCTTCTCATAACATTCCATGATGGTGATTTCAGTCGAATAAGAGCTATATTTTCCAGTGTCTCATCTTAGATCATTCCCGGCATTGAGTAAGAAATAACTTTCTTAGCTGATAAGTTATAACAAAATTTCTATAAATACAGGCGTAAGAACCGTTTCAGACGTCAAACTTTTCAAGTGCCGTATCAAGTGCAAATGAGCTGATACAATGACTTTTCAGTTTTTCTCAATATAACATTAGCTTTGGTATAAGACAAATTCGACGTTTGAAATCGGCTTAAGGCTCAACATGCGAGTGGAAGCCATCTAATATGACCGTAAACGGCCATCGTGTATCTATTTTCGAACCTGTTCTTCAAAGAAAGCTCGTGTTTGCCACAAAATCGCAGTAGTTAATGCTCCGATGAGTGTCAGGATAAGAAAAAAGCCTTTCTGCTTCACAAAGAGTGTCCTGTAAACATAACACTAGACATTTAGGCATTATTTATAGAAATAATAACGAAGAATTCCGAACTACAGAAAGAATATTCAATCCCCCTAATGCCTAATGGACACGGCTAAAAACTCTTAGAACACGGTTCAAAAGCACTGAGCAATGTAGTACGGCCCATATTTTTCAAATTTGTCAACAACATTGAACAATATTGTTGAAAATAACTCAGATCCGACAATATTGATCAATGTTTATAACAAATTTGAACAATATATGTGGGCAGCACAACGTTATTCCATCCTGTCCATATCAATGTTGCATCAACCTGGGCTGGGGCCAGTTGTATAAAAGGCTATAGGAACTTGTATTGTAACTTGTAACTGTATTTAAGGACAGAATTGGCCAATCAAAGTCGTGTATTTCTGAGTTAACTGGGATTTAACTACGCAAAATGTAGTTAAGGAGTTTTATACAACCGGCTCCTGATCGTTTTAGTCGGACTCGTGAGTGTGAGTATGCCGCCACTTACGATGCATATATTATTTACGTAATAAAATCCTCAACCAGCCAACTACATAGTGTATGTTTAGCCGTTTCGTTTTAGAATTTTATCTTTATATGCCCACAATTTTAAAGGGCTTTCGAACAAGCCAGTTTCGGTTTGATAATCCAGCCTAACCCGTAAAATACCCCGACCCTGCGAATTGGCAAAGTAACATTATTGATAACTTCAGGCGGTAAACAATGATAACAGTCTATAAAAAATCACATCAGATACTTGCTGTCATTTGTACTTTAAAAACAATAACAAATTACGTTTACTTGTGCAATGCAAAACAACGTACTTAAAATTCGGAACGAGTACAGTCTTAAGCAAAATTAAATGCAACAATTTAGCCAGAGAGCCAAGTCAAGTATGTAATTTAAACACAGCAATGGCGTGTTAGACAATATTGTATTATTGTTTGTGCTAGTAAAGTTTGACGAAATATATACAATGCTTCTCCTTAACATTACAACGATAAAGTCTATTAAAGTATTAAAGAGAGTGTCCAACTTACCTTAGGTCATTGAAACAAGCCATCGCAGGACATCGTATCGTGAATTAAACGCTGATACGATATGACAAGGCCACGTCTGAAAACATCAATAATTCAAACATGCACTTGATTTTAATACTACAGAAGTTAGCAGGTATGCATTTACTTTAACTGAAGCTGAAATAATATAGTACCTGGAATATAAGTAATCCCTGACAGTAAAAAATGGACGAGACGACCGCGTATATATGATATATAAAGCGATTAAGCGCCGTTTGTTAAGAATCTCTAAGCGTTTCAAAGTTCGTTCATGAATGAAAATATTCTTACGGCTTTGGAAATTATTTCCATGTTTAGTGGGGCGGAATTCTGTTTACATTCCATAATACTGAGCACCGAACTCAAATTATAAATTTATAAATTTGTCCACGAGCATATAATCCCATATGGCAAGGTTAAGTGTATTGGTGAACAACCAGACCGGAATTCCTGTCATGCAATGTTCAGTAAATCCTATATAGACTCATGAATTTAACCCTTGAGGTTAGGTTAGGATTAGGATTGAGTTAAGCCGTGATTAGGTCATATTGAACTTTACTTCCACTTTATTTACTTTTACTACGATATATATTTGGCCTAATATCTAACGCCAAAGACCTTCTCAAAAAGGTAAAGGTGCCTGTTACGAGTTGCGACTTACGCGAGAACGAGGCCAGTCAGGTTTGCCACTGCCAAAATTTCAAAATCATTTGTTTATTTCATTGTTTATTTAAATCTGAGTTTAGGCGCTTGTAACAGGTACAGCAAAAAAGTGAAAATAAACAAACTTTGGCACGGTCGACTTTTCAAAAAAATCTATTTTTGTTCATTCGTTGTCGTTCGGTAATTTCAGTGAACTCTATTGTAGTTTGGAAAGGTGATTCAATATGGCCGCCTGTTATGTATACATGAAGGTCTTGAGTACGCGTTTTCTGACGAGTTACGCTATACTAATGCTGGAAAAATTTCAGTGCCATCTATTGGGTTGTTGTTAGCATTTTTAGCTTGTTTTTTATTTTTTAAACTGTTGTCTGTATTTATCTACATTCAGCAATCTCGTTTTTCAGACAGTGATTCCAGGTGCTATGAAATCGCGGGAAAGGACTGGAACTAGATATGAAAAAAAGTTCCATTTCAGTCGGTTGTAAAAACTTCATATCTCTTGAAATATATTTTAGTTTCAAATTTATGTCAGAGCTTTACATCTAAACATAATCACAAAATTTAGTCTCATAAAAGAAAAAAGAAGATATAATCGATTAAATACTGCAAAATGGTTTTTATTTCGACAAATTTTTGTCGGCATTTATCTGTTTATTGTCGGTAATTGTCGTTTGTTTACGGTTGTCGTCGGTTGTTGACACTTGTTGTTGGTAATTAGTTCAACTCCAGTCCTATTCCTAACTAAATGAATCATCAGGTATTATCATTAGATCACCTAAAACAACTTGGGGACATTGTTGACAAAACATTACATTGTTGACAAAACATTCTATTTGAGAATAACTTAAATGTCTAGATTTACGACGAATATTTAGGTGTTCATCATACAGTCATACTACACAAGATCACAAACACTCTGAAACAAACACGGCCTTATTTTGTGAGGGAATTTTTCTTTTATCAAGTGGAAAAAAAACACACAGGAATATGTTCAGGGGGGAAGAATTCCAATATGCATCTACAGGGGGGGATAGTCGTTAATGATTAGCCAAATGTAAACAAGAGACAGTCAAATATCAACAAGGCCGGCAAAAATACACGGAAAGAAGCTGAACAAACCGTTTCATTTTCATATGAAATAAATATTGAGAATAAGGAAGTGTTGGGGTGGTTAGATCTCAATTAGAAAGTCGATTTCAATGGTTTTTAATATGTCGTGAAATTATCTTTGCACAAAAGGCCGGATACATCATACATGGATGATTTAGATGGGCCTGTTTTGGAGGAGAATGAAGCAACCCAGATCTTTTACGCTAAATATAAGCTTAAGGAAAAACTTGGAGCGTGAGTATTGTTCAAAATGTCCTTGTGTTTGTCTTAAGCTGAGATAGATTTGTTGCAGGTCTTGAATATTTAATCGTGGCAAAAAAAAACAAAAATTTATAATTGCTGAAGATCACTTGATTATTATATTATTGCCGTGTTTTATTCTGTGTTTTGCATCTATAGCAAACATAAAGTTTCAAACTTGTAGTCTTTTCAAATATTGGTCAATAAAAACAGTAATAATAAAAGCACAAATGTGCTACTTGAAGATACAGATCAGTCTACTACATATTTACATAAATACCACATAACTGATTGTCACTTTGACTTCAAATCTAATCTATTTAACTTATGTTACTACATCTAAAGTTTTTAGAAGACTAAGTTTGCAATTCTTATGTTGTCATATATATGTTATTTAGAATGTCCCACATTCTCATAATTTTGAGGTATTATGTTGTCACAATAGCTATCAGCAGGTGTGTGATGTGTTGATTCATTCATTGATAGCGGCCTGTCGAGTGTTGTGAGGAAATGTGTAGACAAAGCGACTGGTCAGGAGTATGCTGTGAAAATTGTCGATAAGTTGGGTGATCATGGTGATGCAGATATTGGAAAAGTAACCAAAAATGAGGCGGATATTTTGGCAGCACTTTCTGGACATAAAAATATTAGTAAGCTGAAGTTGAAATACTGCATGCTTCCAATGAGCAGTCAGGGCATTTTACAGGAAGCTTATCAACTAGAGTAAAGTGTCAATATTGATCAGGCTCTTGTGCATGCAAGGCACTACTGACACAACACAACAGAAACATAACCTATTACCACACTCACAGTGTATAAAGAAGGTTTGAATGTAATAACTATGACTATGGCATACAAATTAGCCTGCATAACATATATATAACAGGGCTATATTGCGAGAAACAAGATTGTTATATGACAGCAAATGCAGTTACACTTTTAATGAAAAGGATTTTTTAAGCCTTTCACTGTGACAGAAGGGCCCATTTTATAAGAAAACTAGGTTGACTACTGGGGCAAGCACGTGCAGGGTACTGGGGCAGTAGAGGAGGACCTACTCTACTGGGGGTAAATACCCAGTAGTTATAATAATTAGAAAATGCCCTGAATTGAGCAGGACCAAATGAGTTCAAAAATGTACACAACTTCATGGATTGACCCCATTTTCCAATATTTTTTGCAGTATCGCTTGTTGATTTTTTTGAGTCGCCGACATACTTTTTCCTTATTTTTGAGCTGTAAGTATTAGTGCATACTTGTAGTAGAGTCAAATGTTAATTTTGAATATAGAGATGCAAACTAATTTTTATCACCAATTTTATGAAGTGCTGTTGGAGGAGAACTCTTTGATCAACTGACCAAGGATGTAACATTCTCGGAGAAAAGAGCAAGGTTATTTTCCCCCCTTTATTTCAAGGAAAATTAATACTAGCTGGTACTTCATATAGGCGCAGATGTAGTAGACCATGCCTGTCACCTTGTCATATTAAACAGCATATTCTAGCAGTAACATTTGTGTACTTTTGCATGGTGAACTAATAACTTAAAACATCAATTTGTAGAAACACCACATCTATTTGTTACATGCAGAGCTTTAAATTGTGTTCTGTTAAACTGGGCCTTCATCAGTGCAAAATTGTAGTACATAGTCATGTCTATATACATATTTTGACAGGCAAGCCATAACACCTTGCATTTGTGTTATGGACGGTTAAATTATAGCACAATAATCTCCAGCATATAATCAACTAACACATATATACATTTCAGCTAAATAATCTATTTGGCTTTATATTCCATTCATGTTTATTTGGTTATTTATAGGAAAGTTATGTATGAAATTTTAACTGCTGTCCAGTACATGCATTCAAAAAGCATTGTTCATAGAGATTTAAAGGTATATATTTAGCCAGTACAATTTTGCAGAAATGTATATATTATCAGAAAAATAGTCATAATTTCAAACCTATTTTTAATAGCCTGAAAATATTCTTCTCAATGACAAAATGATGATAAAATTATCAGACTTTGGGTTTGCTAAAAAGTTGGAAGCTGGTGAAACACTCACAGGTTTGTTCTGCCAATATTGCACTTTCCAATTTTTACATCAAGAAATATTTGGTTGAAAAATTATATGAATTAGGATGAAAAGGATTTTCCTTTTACATTACATCCAGATCTATGTGGTACTCTGGGTTACCTCTCTCCTGAAGTGCTTCGCACTAATTTATATGATGATCATCCTGGATATGGGTTTAAAGTTGATCTGTAAGTAAAAACTCCCTCTCCTTGCACAAACCGGATGCATTGCAAACAAATATGTGTTTTTATGCAATCTCTTTGCTGTATAGGTATTTGTAATATTTCAAAAATTCATTTGTCTTGTTTTAATAATTTCACTTTATACATACATTTTCATGCATTATAAACTTATTACACTTTTTTCACTACATTTTTAGTTGGGCATGTGGTGTTATTTTGTATACTTTGTGAGTATTAAGCAAATAATATGCATTTTTCAAAGGGATGTTATTCTCTGTTTACATTATTTCTCACCTTTTTTTTTGTGTTTCTGTTCCACTGTTTCAGCTGATAAATTCTTCACCATAGCTTTTAGTCTTTTGTTTACGTAACCAAGTCATAATTTATAAATGATACTCATTAGCATAAAATATATAATTATTAATAATAATTATTTATAGTTTTCGTTAATATACAATATAGTCAATAATAATAAGTTTGATCCGAATCGATCCCTTAAAAGTAAAAATACTGCACAGGAAAACGAAAAACAACTACTTATACAATTGAACCCAGACAAAATGTTTTCAAAACCTTTTTATTTGCAAAATGTCCGTATTTTGTCGAAAGTCGGAAATTATATGCAAGTTTACTTAAATTCATGTATTTCTATGAGCTATTTGGTTTAAAGCGTCTATTTAGCATGTCAATGAAATGTTCATGCTTCTATGATTTTATATTAGGCTAGAGTTGTTGCTTGCCAGTCAGGTTGATTGTTTTTGTCGCTGCATAATATTTCAGATTGTCTGGATGTCCGCCATTTTGGCATCGAAGGCAAGCCGTGTTGATTCGTTCGATAATAGAATGTCGCTATCAGTTCAGCGGTGCAGAATGGGCCGACATTTCCGATTCTGCAAAAGACTTGGTAAATAACTAAGATATTCCTTATTTATTTTATCCTCATGAAACATCCGCAGGCTGTGGATGTTTCTCGGAAGGTTGGACATGTTTGTAATATGTCTGTTGTTTTCGGCAGATTTCAAAACTTCTTGTTTCTGAACCAGAAGAAAGATATTCCGCTGACGACTGTCTTAAACATCCTTGGCTGGAGGGTGTTCAAGTAAAACTATATTTTTTTTAAATTATTATAATCATTACGTTTTTGCTATAAGCATTACTCCTTTTCAGAGCGGGGTGAAATTTTCAGCATTTTCCCGCCAAAATATTCGTGTACTCCTGAGCATTACTTGTTTTTGTATAGATTTCAAGACCTGTGGCTTTTGTCGGGAGAACTAAACTTCGGGTATGTAAAATTATGTGCAAATTATGAGTAAAAACCTTATATAAATATTTTTCATTATGTCTCACTTTAATTAGCTTACAACTGCAATTTGAAGTAAACACGTGATTTTGAAATTTTCGCGGGAAAAATAACTAGTTTTTATATCCTCGTGCAACTCGGAACAGGCCCCAAGGGTTATACTCTTTCTATGACTAGGGCTATTATGCATAGTGAAACCACCTATTCGCCCAAAACGATACAATCAAATATGATGCGATTGTCATTTCAGGGAGTTTTGATCGCCGTTCGGACGTGCCTTGCCTTGCGTCAAATGGTCCTTGACAAACAACTAATCACGGTCGAAATGGCAAAGACTGCTCCGTACAAAGTGAAAACTTTCAGAAAGCTCATTGATGGATGCGCTTTCAGAATATACGGTCATTGGGTTCAGCGGAAACGTGACGATATTCAAAACAGAGGCGCGTTGTTTGAGAACCATCCTAAAATGCAAGTTCGCAATGGCGCTAATATTACCAGGACTAGTAGCCGAGTAGATAGCAATTTTGTTTACAGCTTTACTCACAGGTGACCAATGTTGTGGTGTATATATTGAAGACAAGTCCTGCACGGAATAGTTTTTTTTACTGCAAATCATCTCGGTACTACAAATTTGCCATTTCCAGTGGCGTCAACTGCCTTTCTTAAATCTGGTATCAGTCTCACAGTAACCTGTTACCCAACCGTGACATGCACTATAAGAGTTTGCAGGAAATTTCATTCCAGTCACACTTATATAGGCTGCGCTCAGACCCGGCACTGGTGCCCATCGCTTTGTTGAACATGACGCTGTAGGTACATTATGTATTTACGCGACGCTTCCAAATAAAATTGGGCATGGTACCCAAGAACGGGCACTATTTCAAAGGCACTGTGCTTAACATGTTTTGAACCAGTTTGACTTTGGGCACCGTTGCCGGGCACTCAGCCTGAACGCAGCCTTATTGTACGTATTCTTTATTATTACCGCCATAAAACTAATTTAAGAACACTGAGAGCCTGTGAAATATATGACCAGTGGTATGTTCTGAATGCAATACTTCATTTCTGCAGGGTTTATATATAGTGAACGAGATACAAAATCTGTGGTAATTCAACTTATACGTAAATTTCTTGGTCAACCGCCTGTTCGATCCTAGTAGGCAAAAATAAGATAGATGTGCATGCGCAAATGACAACTGATCAAGGTCCCTTGAGTACTAAATTATAAATCAGGCTTTGTCATGTAGTGCCTTTCCATATGTTAATATTTGCTACGATTGCAAGGATATATTTATATTGAAGTATTTTCGTCGCCCAGACTTGCCCTCATTTTTTACTGGCTGTGATGTAAAGACTCGGTACTTTACAAGTGACACTGCCATCATCTTCTGTGATAACATAATCTTGCACCTCTTTTTTATTCAAGATTTCAAAACTATGACCTCTTGAAGCTTCGTACCAGGGTTTAAATTCTTCTAACGTTTCAAACCGTTTTACGTGCAAATCCTTCTTGATCACGACATCGGTGAAGAGCCCACTATCTTGAAATAACTTCAGATATCCGTCATACGTTAACATATGAGGCCCGAAAATACTCTTTTCAACACCCACAGGTTTCTCTCCACACAATATGGCAAGCTTTCGCCCCGGTTTTAGAGAGCGATGTGCTTTTTCTAAGTAAACTTTCTTCTCGTCATCGGAAACCCAGTGAAATGAATTCGTGCCCATATGAACATCGTAAAACGCTTCACTTTCGTGCGGAAATCCTGTGGCTGCGCTCCCAACATGGAACTGAAGATTACGGACGTCTTTGAAGTTTTCTGCAGCGATTTGGATTCTCGAGGCATCCGGATCGATGCCTGTAACTGAACCGTCGGGGCCCACAATATCAGCGATATATTTTGTGACTTTCCCAGTACCACAACCAATGTCGAGCACTTTGTCTCCTAGGGATATGCCTATTCTGTTGACAAATTGACATCCGGCATTAAATTGCATTTTACTCAATTCATCATACGCTTGAGCATTGAAGTCCATCTTGTATTGATAGCGTTGCAAAACACTGAATCCTCTTTTATATAGCAATAATCCTTGAGTCGATGAACTGTGCTTGTGTGTCTGATATAAGGTATCAGGTTTCGTATTTGCTATTTTTTAACCGTAGCTAGACTTGCCGCTTTTACCGGAGTGTGTATTTGCTAACGTAAAACGAGCAGAGAACATGACACCCATGCCCATGGGTTGGTTTGCCCAGTCAGTGTCAACCGAATCAAGTTTTGATATTCCCTACCGTTGCCCTTACATTCCTCAGATTTCCTGAAAGTTTCAAAACCTCAAAACCAGTCTCCACTCGATAATTTTTCAAGATGGCGGACGTGAGGGAGCAAGAAAATATAGCTCAAGAAAACATACTCCCTCAAAGCACATCGTTTGCATCGGTTATTCCAATGATGGAGCAACTGAGGCGACAGAAAGGCCCGGTAGATATTTTCCCAGGGCTTCCTCAGTCTCCAAGACCTCCACAGCAAATAAAAATTGAACGTATTATGGAAAGTTGTGTTTTTAAATCTACTTTGGCCGGTGTCCTGGGTACGTGCATGCATATTTAGTTCACTTATTTGTTTTCTGATACTGTAGTGAGACATGTAATGCAATGTGGATATTCATATTATAATATTGTTTATAAAATACTAATAAATATTTCTGCCGGCGGGGGAGCAATGTTTTAAGAATATAAAATAGGATTATTGAAAGATGAAAATTTGAAGAGGAAGATAATGTGTTTGAGGGGGACATATTTTTTAACATTTTACGGGGGGGGGGGCATGCCTGTCCAGGCTCCTCTCATCTTTAGGTTTGCAAAAATAATATTTTAATTAAAAAATCACCATATTTTAATAAGGAAGTGACCATCTTTAGTGATTTACAAATATATTCTTGGACATTTCCAACTGCTGACTGCTGAGTTGAAAAATACGCAACATTACCATAATATCTAGACAACATAATCCAGTGAGGTTTTTAAGGAGGGGGGGTAGCAGCATCCCATTTTTTTTTGGGGGGGGGTTGTCATTGAGAATAATTAAGATTGAAGTGATGCAAAATTCTGGTGCAACAAACATTAAACTTCAGTAATGTGATCATTTAAAAAAATGCCATTGATTGAGTAATTAGAAACCTATATTCACACAGAATAGTTTGCTGTAGGTACATTATGTACTATTTCAGGTTATTTGCTCGGGGGAGGTTTTGGTATATTCACAGCTGGTTTGGACACATCAATGCCCACTAGTATTTCAGGACAAGTCGATACTTCTGCCAGAGCAACCTTACGTGAAATGGGGCAAAGGGCCTCATCTTATGGCAAGAATTTTGGTGTTGTGGGTGCAATGTTTTCTGGAACAGAATGTGTGGTTGAATCGGTAAGATGGATGGTGACATTAAAGGATTTAATTACTCAATTAATAATGTAATAAGGCTGTCTTACAAAATACATTCATTTAATCAAACACTTGTAGTTAATATGAAAAATGTACTTGGTAACTTTTTATACCTGTAGGATTAAATTGTCCATACATGAAGTACATGTCTGAGATAAAATGTACTTTTGAAGTACTTCATTTTGAAAGAATCTAATGCATCCTGAAGGCTAATTCTGACAACAGTGGTGGGTGGTAAAGGCAGAAACATTTGGATTTGTAATAAGAAAGGGAAGGGGATGTGATATAGTGGAATTGTAAGAATGATAAAAATGAAATAAATGCTACAAATGGCAGTGAGGTCAAGATGGTCTATAATTTTCGAGATAATTTGTTGTTTTCAGCTGCTCATCTCTATAAAACAATACTTCAACTCAAAATCATAATATCATTGTTCAAAATTTAATGAAAAAGCGGGAAGATAGACGTGTTATATGAAAAATATGAGGATATATATTTTTCTAACAGGTGGATTTTGTTCTGATTTAGTATCGTGGTAAGAGTGATTGGAAAAATGGAACATTATCAGGGTGTATAACAGGTGGAGCTATAGGTCTCAGAGGTTCGTATCTAAACCGATATCATTAACGGATCAAAAAGCTAAACACAACTCACACCGCCCATACCGAATATGGTTATTTGCTGCCTTAAACAAATACAAATTTCTACAACAAAAAGCAATACGAATTTTTACTAGGTCCATGTTTCCAAACTGCTTTTGAGTTCAGATGTGTTTGACCTGCGATACGTTAAATAGTCATGCTTAAGTGTTACCACCTGCTTGATTTTTCCGGTTTACCTCCCTGTATCCCTATATATCCCTATATTACCTCAATATAGCTTGTAGAGTATGAGGGAAAACATACAAGACTACTTATTTTCTTGCAGCTGGTGGAAAGGCTGCATTGTTTGGTTGTGCTGGATTTGCAGCATTCTCGACTGCTATTGATTATTATCTCAGGTGACATATGTTTCCAAAACGTCTCGAAGAGTTGTGGTCAATTCAGGTACGCATCACATGAAAATGGCTGCGCCTGGTCGATGTTGAAGATCAGTACTGAATAAAGCTATACCAGATATTAAACTAATACTACTGGGTGTCCCAGAAAAAAGTACTCCGGTTTGATTCATAATAGCTTCTAAACTAGCTAAGCTATTAAACTGAAATAACTTTCACTAGATAGAGGAAAGACCAACTTAGATTTTGATACATTACAGTTGTATTTTACTTTAAAATTTACGGAGATATCAATGTTCAAAATTGGTAGCATATTTCTGGAGGTGTCTAAATTATGCAAAAAACGCCGTATCAAATGTTAATCAATATAATTTAGACACATCCAGAAATATGCTACCAATTTTGAACATTGATATCTCCGTAAATTTTAAAGTAAAATACAACTGTAATATATCAAAATCTAAGTTAGTCTTCCATCTATCTAGTGAAAGTTATGTCAGTTTAATAGCTTAGCTAGTTTAGAAGCTATTAATAATCAAACCGGAGTACTTTTTTCTGGGACACCCGGTAGTTATTCAGAATATTTTTCTTGCTGCATATCACATATGCCAAGCAATCAATTGTTCTTCAAACACTTGTTGAGACATATTAAACAGGTCGAAAAATTTCTAAAAGTTTCGTTAAACTTTTACTATTTATTTTGTTAAAAAATAACTTCTTTTTGATACCTGCCTTGTCGTTAAACAAATAGCTTAAAAAGCATTTTTGCAGGAGTAGAATAAACATACTGCAAAAAGGAGTTAAGCTATAGTAGGGCAGTTTATTTTGAGTATGCATACTATTCAGAGTTGAATAGTATCATATGAGGAGCTTTGCAGTTGGAGCCTAGATACCATGAAGGAGAACAGCTCAATATCACAGTGAGATGAAGGTAAGAAGTTAAATTTCTAGCTTATTAAAGGGAGATTATAAGAGAAAAAGGCAGTTTGCTGAAGAGATAACATATCAAAAATTTAATAAATATTTAAAAATGCACACACTACTGCACTGTAATCGATACTTATTTGCTGTATCATGAGTATCTTCTGAATATCTACTATTAATTCCATTGCTATAAATTCATGCCTTATGAATGCTATAAATTCATGCCTTATGAAGTTTGCATTTTATATTTCAATTAAAAGGTGCAATTTATATCAATAAAAATACCTAAACTGTGTACATGTCGTCTATGCTTATCTACGTGTATCTATGTTGATACCAGGCTATATGTTCTTATTATATATCGGCCTTCTGTTCGGCTAAACTAATGCGTCTTGTTCGTTTGGACATTCCATTCTCCATTCTGTCATTTCCGAAAATGCATCGTAGCACCTTTTCATGGACCATCTTTTTTCAACCTCAGTAGCCCAGCTTGCCGCTATGGCATCATGTATTTTTGGTATGTGGATTTTGTTCTTGTCTATTTCTGGACGATACCCTTCAGCCAGCATTTCTCGGAAATGTGTGACGTTTTCGAAAGGCATAATTTCTCTGAACGCCTGGGTGGCATACCACATCTGCCACAGCACAATACCATAACTAAAGATATCGACTTGTTAGGTTATCCAGTATTTCAGGTGCAAGATGGGTCATGCCTTTCGGTCTTACCAGAAATCGTCCCATAATCCCAACGTCAGATATCAACGCGGTCCCATCCTCGTCTTCCTGTTGGGCAAAATATTAGTGTTTTAAAATGTCTGAAGATAGATGTTTTAGAGTATGTCTTGATTTGTGTCCTAAATGTAATATGACAATAATGTAAGTTACAGCAATATTTAGGTCACAGATAGGCATATGCAAAAAAACCCTGTAATGTAACCAGACAAAAGATCTGTAAA